ACTCAGGCACTTTATAGCCTGCGCATACTACTGATAATCGATGATTGATAATTACAAGTCTTTATTGAGCCACACAAATCAAACAGCCAGCCTAAATATCACTCAATGAGTCTTGTGCACCGTTAAGTCCTCCACAATAAACTGTAAATCCGACTTCACTGCTCTTCATTCTCGATGTAAAATATAAGCAGCCCACTCAGCCGCTCTGGGCTCGCTGCCCAGTTTCCAAACCCTGAGGTGGAGGAGCTCCACAGTCGGAGATGATCACAAACTGTAGAAAGGTGGAGCTCACCTCACTGACAATAGAAGTGATCCTTTATTCAGGTGTGTTTGATCAAGGACACTTACAGTTGTCGCCAGCTGGTGCATTCAATCAGCAGCCTGTTGCGTTCTCAAGTGGTAATTTATAACTTCATCATCAGGCGCAATTCCTGACGACTTCGATGTTACGTACCTACGCCAAGAAGGTTATGTTTTCACGTGTCTGTGTTTGTAAGCAAGATTGCTCAAGAATTATCAGATGGATTGCCAGGAAACTTGGTGGAAAGATGCATTGCGGGTCGAGAAAACCCAGAAAATGTTGGTGTGGGTGTGAATCAGGGGGAGGATTCACCACGAGGATTCGAGGAATTTTTATTTTTAAGCATTGTGAGATTTGTGCATGTTTTGACACTTTCATGGATCCTGATGAAAAACAAATCTGGCACATTTAGAGGACTAATCATTCTCGTTACATAAAATAGCATTGTACTCAAAATGTCAATAGTTTAATCCTTGTGAATATTTTTACTCTTTTTGACATTTTGCAAAATACAATATTGTGGCTTCACTGTGTGTTGAAATGGAGGCTAAACAAGCACAACATGAAAATCAAACTGGAGGACCAATGTTTACTCGTTTAGTTTTTGGGATCGAAAACCTATTACAGAAGAAGATTTGGTGTCTTTGTTACAGCACAAGTCAAGACACCTAATTCTCTGTGGTTATACTTCACCATTCAGAAGTCATGAAGTGGAGTGAGCTATGTGGTGCAGTCTAAAACGTTTGAAGCACAAAGTTGCTATACTTACTGCTAACAAAGTTATCTAAAATAACACCCTTTTGTCCTCTGCTTAAGAAACTCCTAAGCTTCCTCCCTATTTATAACAGTTTTTCACTTGAGCTCTTGTAAAGATGCTTCCACTATGAGTAAACTTTATAAATATGCCCCTGGATCTTTTCTATAACATGGGCCAAAACACTGCTTGTTTCCCTTTTACTACCGGCAGTCAAACATCAGTTTATTCCTTTTAGGACCCTGATCATTATTGTGTCATTCTTTTAATTGTACTTTTGTCACTTAATTTAGAGCACCATTTGTCTTGCAACTCTTAAACTCCATCGTCCTGAACAAAGCTTTGGTCATTTTCACTTCTTCTCCACCCTTTGGGGAAGCCAACCCTAAAAATGATCCAGGCAAAACAAAAAGAAGGAAGAACATTATATTTTCATACACAGTATGACTTAATATCCTCCCAGTGTGTCTGCAATGAAAAGTGTCTTTCAATCTCTTGTCCCTATTTTGAATTGCTAATATGAACCTTTAACGATGTGCTTATCAGACTCCACATGTTCCCTCATGGGTCCATTAGTAGAAGTGATGTAACATGCAGCAATTGTCACACATCTGTGTAAGAGTGACATATAACACTGTGAAAGATTTTTCTTTTCATCACTGATGTTTGTATTCTTTTATCATTTTTACTGTTGCTTGTTTGATTAAGCTCCCAGTGTGTGAGCTGACATCACAAGGGTTAAACCTCACACAATTCAGATAAACGCTGCACTTGCTGCTTTGTTGCATTGCGGTTTTTTTTGTGTTAATTTTGTTAATCAGGTGCATTAAGCTTAGGTACTGCAGTTATTTCAGTGGAATCTAAAGCATTATACTCTCAGAGAAAATGTAGCTGATTATGTTGCAGAAAACAGTTTATGTACCACGGTGCTCTAAACGTTGGGTCATTTTCTAGCAGGAGGTCTCGGATGGTGAGAGTCAGCAGAATTACTGGCCTGCCTGGTGCGTCACCAACACACAGATGAGAACAAACAACCAGCAGCGGATGAATTACCTCAATGACTTTGGGGATTGCAGACAGACATTTGCTTTGGTGGCACCATAACGTTGATCTTTGCAGATTTAGGGAAAATAGTTTTCATAGAATTGCTAAGAAATTACACATTACAGGAGGAATGGTTATGTCTTTGGTGATTCTCTGACTTTTGATCAGAAACCAAAATAAGGTCACCTTTTTTTGTAATTTATGCGATACCTTACTATTTCACCAACGCACTTTTGTATGTTTGTATAAAAGGCAAACTGATTTACCATAGTACAACCCTACAGAGCTGCTAGTATAATTATGTACAAAACATAATACTATGCCAGAGGCTGGTGTCTTAGGAAAGCTAAATCAGAACAGTTTATCATGTTGTGTGTCAAGAGATGTGTCGTAGTAATTGTACGAAGCAGCCAGGTCAACCTGTTGGAACATTGGCTGGAGAGATTCAAGAAGTGAAAAATGAATAACTATTTTTGATTACATAAAATCTGCCCTGAATATATGATGAGAATAATGAATTGTAAAAACAATAAAATCTCAGGGTTTACTGAAGCTATTCCAACAACCTTTTCAGCCAAGTAGTTATTCCTCTTGTTGCCTCTGGACTCCTTTACATTGACATTGAACCTCATCTCACTTGACACTGTGACTGTACCAGCTGACGTCTTCAGGGTTCAAGATCAAGATCTCAAGGTGTTAAATGGTTTCTTGTAATGTGATAATATTGACTTACCACCCAGAATGAATTATAATACGATTTACATATAGCTCTCGGTGCTGTGTTGAGCGCTTGTGCTTGTACCACATCAAATAACAGTATAGTTCACCCATCCAGAAACGTTAGATTTAAAAGAGGTAACACAGAAAGGTGTCAGATGAGGTTTTTTCCGCTATGTCAATGCCACTTGGTTTTTATTTCCCTTCTGCTGCCGATCTCATGAGCTGTCACAGATTTACCAAAGGATTTTTGGGTTCTTTGTAGCTTTGTTTAAAAACTGCCTCGTAGTTCCTCGTCTGCCCCGGTCAGTAGCTCTCAGTACAGCAACCTTTAACCTTCACTTTCCTCTAAGATTTCTGTGCTTGTGCTTCACCTCTTTGTCACAGTCACATTTTAAACATCCAAGGAAAACTCAACCACACCTGTTCAAATACCTGCTTCTTCTATCAAGCTTTATTTGCCAAGGTCGTGCTCTTATAACACGTTATCCTCTGAGATGTTATCCTCTCTAATCTAATTCAACTCCCTTTTTCCAGATGTTATCCACCTCTTGCTCTGTGTCTCTGGCAGCCTCAGGCCTCCAGGGCTGGATGGAGATGAAGAAACAGCAGCATTATGAATTCCATTAGCATCAACTTACATCTTCACAGGTTGCTCTAAGTGCAGTGGTAAATGTTCAGATTTGACGCATTCTTGTATTTTATGCTCTGAGATCCCAAATAGCTCATTTAAAGAAGTCACACTGAAGTAGCTTGTTGGACAAAATGTCATCCTGTAAGAATAGAAGACATCTGAGCAGCCATAGATTGGCACAGCGTCACACGTCTTCAAATGATGTGAATGGAGCTTTTCTGACAGATATTTTACATTTAAAGGGTTTAAAAGTTGATTTATTTTTAGCTGCTCCAAAAGCAAAGACATAAAAGCAAAAGTAAAAAGAATGGATTGAACATTGTCGATCTGCTCCCAAGATTAGTTTGCTGGTGACGCAAAATAAGATACACAACTGTTATGTTACTTCAAAAAATACTTTTGAAAATGGTTAAATCAGTGCATGGATGTGAAAAGCAAAGAGTTACCGTCTGATTCAGTTTGAAGATGCAGTATAATAAACTGAGTTTGAATAGAAATACACAAACTCTGAGGTGTCTGCAGAGAGGAGAGACTGGGTTAGCTCGAGGTGGATATGACAGCCTATTCAATACTGTGACAGACTGCGGTTTATAGTCTCAGGTAATGAAAATCCCTCTGTGCTGGGAATGAAGTACAATAATGTTGACAAAGTAATCTCAGTTGAAGCCTTGTCAGAGCAGAAGACAGGACTGGGAACCTCTGAATGAGCTGAGAATAATCTGAACTGGCTCCAGAAGAAAAACAACATCCATTATGAAAGAGGTTTTATTCAACACTTACAGAGTCAGGAAACATTTGCAATGAGTTAACAATGATGATTTATTACAATAAAACCATTGCCCCATATATGCATGAGCTGCATTTAAATAGAGTTTGTCCAGTACTGTTTACCATTTAAAGCACTTTATGTGAATTTAGGTAAAGCCTTAAATTTCAAGATTGAACAAATCATCTTATAAATTGTACAAAATCAACAAATTATCAAAGCATTATATCACAATTACGACCTTGTACTGCTTTTATAAATACAAACCACAACCATTCCTTAACCTGTTGATTTTGTGGCTAAACAAAATTATGCCTTTATCATCACATTGTCAAGTGTTATTTATATTATTAGACTTAATCACCTACTGTATATGGTATTGTAGTTTAGAGGATTTGTCGATACTAGCAGTAAATATATGATCCAATGCTGTATGACACTTTCACATGTTTTTAATAGTTTTGAGATAAACAAATATCTGGTATATCTGGTAAAACGTAACTGAAAAATTGCCAAAAAGTATGATAAATAACGAGTTGCTAGTCCACATTTCATGAAAATGTCTCTGCTGACGTGTCTGTTTCCTTTTCTTCTTCTGGAACAAAATCAACTGCTCTGGTCACCTGCCTCTATCTGCATTCACCTCAAGACAGCTTCAAGTTTAACATTTTGTTCGGAGGAAAACATCTGGATGGTTACCAACATTGCAGCAGGATACTATGACAGGTTTCGTAAGATTCTTAACCTCGATCGTTGTCTTTTCTCCTCTGTGACTGGTCAACAGAAGCATGTGACGGCCCACTGGTGTCCAGTTTGCCTCCATCGTCCTTCAGAAGCTCCTCCCAGTTGTCCAGCAGCCATGGACCAGTGTTTGCTAAAGTCAACAGGAGAGAAGGTGAGAAGCGATCATTGCTTTTGTCCATTGTCCAACTTAAATATTTTACTCCTTCCAGTGCTGACACATTTCAAGTAAGATTCATTCCCACATAGTCATGAATAATCTGCTCATTTACTTGACACAGCAGTTTGCACACAGGGACACCCGAGTGTTTTAACTTTATGATTTGCCTGACTTTATTACCCAGGATTCATTGCCCAGACTGCAATCAAACATTAGTCATAAAATCCTTTCACATAATTTCTTCTTGGCCTGAGGTGGAGGTGGAGGCAGTGATGCAATCCAGTCATGCTTGATGAGTCCAGGTTTTCAAAAGGCTCACTCAATGCAGTTTGAATTATTTTGTTTGGATGACCACAGGGCAGTTTACCCGCGATATATTCATATGGATAAACACAACAACTTTAGCATGTTAATTTACAGGGATGAGACAACATCAATGTTTTCAGATTCTTAGAGTTTTATTACACGCGACAGCCAGTAGCTGGAGGCATTTTGCTTTCGGGTTGTCCATCCGTCCCATTCTTGATGTCTCAAGAACACTTTGAGGAACTTTCTTCAAATTTGGTAGAAACTTTCCGTTATACTCAAGATGAGCTGATTGGATTTTGCTGGTCAAGGGTCAATGTCACTGTGACTTCACAAAGCAAATTTTATTCCTTGTGAACAAAACATCTTTCAAACACTTTCCAAATGGAACTTCATCAGCTCAAGCGCTGTATTAGTGATCAGTAGCAGTTTGTCTGTGAAGATTCTCAGTCATCCAGGTCACAGGATTTATGATATTCAATTCCTTGGATGCCTACGTACAGTTGTAGGTCGAGACATAAATCTGGCTAATCTCTATTAACAGCTACCTGCTCATTAAGGCAGATACATTATAAAGCTGATGCATTCCTATCCATGTATTCCACCTGGTTTTACTTGTCTCTCGTCCATACAGCATCCCCTCCGTCTTTACTCAGACTCTTCTCTTCTGTTCTTTGGGCTGCAGTGCTGCTTTTTCTTCTTATGGTGCAGGAGCAAGTCTTTGGCTCTATAAAGGAAACTGAGAACAACAAAATCAAAGACAAACCTCAGCTGACTTCACACAGTGTGAGAGATTCCTCTGTGGTCGCTGGAGATAAGAGAAAGAGAGAGACATTGCTGAAGACAAAAAAAAAAAAGATAGGTAGGAGGATTGATACATAGGACAGCAGCTGGGGCCAACTCTCTATTTTATATAGAAATGCACTGGAATCATATTAGACTACTATATCATAAACTCCACAGGGCCACTTCTCCTCAGTTGGGGTATAAATCTGAGTTGTGATTCACTAACCACAATAACTATTCAGGAGGGAGCTCCCTACTGGAAGCTGATGCAGGGCTTTATGAGGGGCTATCACGGCATGTTTCGGAGGTTTGCAGATTTCTCCATTTTACAGAGCTCAGTTGCTGACTGTGGTGCCAGAGTGGAGAATCATCAGGGCGTCTGGGATTTCATTCTCTTTTACTCCCACTGTTAGAATAAATTGACCAACTGAGGCAAATTGAAGATAAGCCAGTGCTGTGTTGTTTTCTGAGTGAGTTTGATTGTGAGTTTCTTTCTCCTCTTAACACTTTCCACCACATTGTAGTGAATTAATATGATGGTGAAATTGTTCCTTATTTCTTGTCTCTGTAATTGCTGCTGATATAAAGCCAATCACCAGCTGGACCAGTTTCTGCAGAACACAGTGTAGTCTCAGCATATAACATGTTTAATTAATTCAGTCAATAGACTATATTATATATATATGTTTGTATAAAGATGGACAAAGGGCCACTACTTTCTCCCTCTTTAGATAATGTAAATTAATCTAAAAATCCTAAATACAGGTGCTGCTTTCTTACGCATTTAATGTTATTTTGAACCAAAGTCGAGTTATTGTAGAGTCTCAGTATCGAGGTCACGCGCTTGGCCAATAGCAAGTTAGTCTCAGCTGTCAATAATGACGTTTCACATGTTTATAGCCTCAAATATCTAATTTAAACCAAACTTACCAGAAAAATTAACACAGTGATAAGAACCACCTAAATGTCCCATTCATTAACATGGAGGAGGTAGCATTTGTGGAGCCAGCCAGCAGGGGGCGATCACGATTATTTGTCGTTACTTTTGGGGAGCTATCGTCCATCTTTTTGTACAGCCTGATGATTCCGGTTCAGGGTCCATCTTAAATTTTCTTTGGAAACCAGAAACCTGTGCAAGCTGAAGTGTCAAAAGATTCTTCTGTGCAGAGGCCAAGGTGCCAGCAGAGATCACAAGGTTATATAACTCCCATGCGCCTCCTCGGACCTGGCTACTGCCAGTTGGTCCCATCTTGGTTAGCCAGCCCATATGGTTCCCACATGGTGGGATCATATTTAGCCATCAAGTCGCTGCCTGCTCTTTGAATTGTGCCTTTATACGCTACTGCTTGACTGTACACTGAATGGGGCCAACACCAGCAGGAAGGAGCAGTGGCCCTGTAGATGTGCAGAGTGGACAATTAATTAAATCAGGAAATACCTTGGCACTGAGAGTTGGTCCTGTCTTCACCTTTTTGAAAATTGATCAGGGACCAGCCAGACACAGGGGCCTTGACTCTGGAGTGAGCAGGGGCCTCCGGTAAAATCTCACGTTCTATTTGGAAGTAGAACAACAAACCTGTCATTCGACCCTCTGAGCAGATAAATAAGCTTTGGTGCGGAAAAAGTTAATTTACGTAAAGGAGTGTTTGGACGGCTCTGTCTCGTTATCGTCATTGTTTAAATCATTTTATCAAGAATTGTCAATATTACATTAAAGCTGACCTGTTATGCTTTGTCCTTATTTTCTGTCATATACTCACACACAGGTAAAATTTACTTACGTCCATGATGAGCTGAAATCGACTTGTCATGGATTTTGTAAAATTCTAAAATCTTTCTTTCATTGAAATAAAATTACTGCAATTTCATTGAACTGCTCTGCACTCTGTCTGGCACATGAGAATTAGATATGAAAGTCTCTGAGCACAGATGCTACAATTTACCTCTGTAGTTTGCCCTTCACCAATAACCTGGCCTTGGGTAAGGAGAGAAGGGATTATGTGTCCATGAGATGGGCTCTGTTCTCATAATGGTTTAACAAATAGCAAATGTGCTGTATTTGGATTCTCAAAAGTTCCTTCACTGAAATGACGTACAAGTAAATGTAGAGATCGTAAAATGAAATCTGGTGCGAACGGACGAACGTACAACTGTTGATACCAGGTCTGAGCAGCACCTGGTGGCAGGTAGTTAACGCCGAAGCGTTAAGTTTCATCATTGTGCTCATCAGTTCGCCTTATATCTCATATGTCCAAAACCTTTAACGTTCTTTTCTTAACATTTGCTCTCTTTTCCCCTGAGAGTGACCTTTACTCTTTCCTTCTCATCATTAATCACCTCTTGGTCGTACCCCGCTGCCTCTCTCGCACTTCATGTAACAGCGCGGTCTATTGTAATAGTGAATTTAAGTCGGCCCGTTTTTTGACCTGCAAAGGAAACATGGAGATTAATTAACTCCATCCATATAGCTAAATGTTAATGAGAGTATTTAACATTTATAGCCAAATGTTAATGGAAGTCTTTAACGTCTAAACGGTCTGTGTTTTTCAGTGGGCCACACTGATAATCGCTCATTAGAAGCACTGTAATTATGCTGAAATAGGCTTGGAACACTTCATCAGTTCCAAATAATCATTTTCTGGGAGTAGTAATTTAGACATTAGCAAGGGCTGTAGGTTGAAATGAACTATGGTGGGGGGACAAAATCAGGTATTGATCATTGTGTGATGTTTATGTGCCACCCCTGCGTCTGCACGAGCACATTTACTGCTCTTAAACTCTTTATCTGGCTCAATTCCACCAATCCACCACTCAAATCCATTTAATCTGAGGAAAACACTCCCTCCATAAATCTAATTATATGGGTAAATATCATCTGATTCCTGGACTAAATGCAGCTAAAAGCTTCTCATCGCAGCTTTCGTTCTATATTGCTTCTACATCCCTCACCCCGTTCACTGAAAAAAGCTGGAGTCGTTAATCCGTGACAGCTCCTTAGAAAGACTTTTACGCGGTGACTAAACTGTCTGTGCTCCAGATATTGACTTTAACTATATGTTCAGTCCTGTTAATGAAATATATGGTTAGAACTTTTAAATGGTACTTTTTAAGTACAAACAAGGAGGTAAAAGTAAAATAACAGAAAGAGCAGAAGATGTTTTAAAGTTTTAAAGTGAATTAGGGAAGTTGAAAGAATAAAATCTAATAGGTGAACAGATGAATAAGTGGAGATATCTCTGAACCACATGAAAAAGTAAGAACACTGCAAACAAAATGTATTGTTTAGCATTATATATCTTCATTGTTAGGATTTGTATTCCCTTTTATACCATTGTAAGTATTGGTTGTGTTTTATTTGCTTGATTTTATCAAGTTATTTTGTTTTTATCGTTTCAAAGTTGCGGAGCACTTTGTTACTTTGTTTTGAAAAGTGCTACACAAAAAAAAGTTTATTGTTATTATTATATTGTCATTATATTATATTTAGGGATTGTTCAGACGTTCGTTCATTCAGCAAAATAAAAACAGAAAATTATTGTTCAATCAGTGTTTTGTGTCATGTGAATACAATACGCTTCCATGATAACATGAATGTGAACAAGGAAGACACAGCACCGTACTGATAAAGCTTGTCGGTGTCCGTGATTGATTTAAATTTTTCTGTTCCATTTAACTTAATGGAAACTATCAGTGCAGCTTTCAAATCGGCTCCTTCGTCCATGTAACATTTGAGCCAGAAACCGACGAGTTCTTATTTGTGTCTAATTTACCAGCAGCTGTAACAAGGAATCTTACAATGTTGCTTCACATCCTCAAGTTTTAACACAGTTTTCTCCTTTGTTGTTGTCAAACTGTGACTTGTGGCTTCAGTTCTCCGTCATTAAGTCCCTGATATTCTATTTTCATTCATTAGCAATCATTGACAAAAATTCTAAATGTCACGTTATTATTATTATAGTTCGAAGCCTGATTTTTGCTCCTGAGTGAATGCTGTTCTTTTAAACTTAATACACAGCTAAAATAATTCATGAACAGAATATGGATACATACTTGACCTTGTGATATTGCTGTTAATGAAAATTATATTGCAATAATGTTGGTCATCATTGTCTTATTGCTCAGCCCTAAGTTATCATGTTACCTCATCCACCACATTTGTTTCCTGTTTGGATTTGTTTCCTCCCATTGAGAATGAAGCAGTTGGTTTGCTTTGTCGCTGAGTCATTTTTTTAAAGCTATATATTATTTCACAGGTTTTTATTAAAGCACCGTAGAACTCCACCTCAAATAAACTGCGACTTTATTACTCTCCAGCTCAAATACACTTACAGTCCCTGTTGACGTGGTGATACCGTCTGCGTCTTGCTGCCACTCTCACTTCCTCACTTTTACTCTTGCAGTGGCTTTTGTCCTTTCCACTTCTGCCCTGTTTTTGTCTCCTTCTCCCCTTTTTATTTTCACCTGGCTCTGGTTGCAACATTACAGCGTCACTGCTAACCAAACTTTGCATTTATTTGTGGCCTTACAGGCGCTGGCCGACAACTTTAAATGTCATTGTTGTCCAGTCTGTTGTTTCTAACAGCCTAATGTTTATAGAGGACTCCAGGATTGAAATGCTGCGTCTATTTGTGTGTAAAGTCCCGTCTAAGTTGTAAGTAACTACAGTTCCAAACCAGGGATTTAATAAAAGCTGTTGCACCATTAAACTGTGAGAAACATCTGAGCTAGTAAAGTTTTTATAGCAATGTTGTTGGGAAATTTATTGCCCTCCAACTAAAAGCAATCTGCTTTGTAAACAGAAAGTCACTGCAGTGTAATCCAAAGTGTAATATAACTTACAATATAAAAGTTTTTTGGGGCGTAAATCATATATTAAACTTAACTGCCATCCGTTGTAAATGTAAGTATGACTTGAGAAATCTGGTGCATCTGTAAGAGAGAGATCTTTGAAGAGGAGGAGGTGACAAAAATAAAATTCTCCCAAAGAAAACATCGCAAAATACAGTAAAAGTAGTTTTTCATGTCTCTAGTCGAGGGTTGAGGGCAGAGGATGTAGCATCTTGTTAAATCCAAGGAGGAAAATTGTGATTTGTGTATATTGGCTATATAAATTGGAGGGTATATCAAAATGTAATGAATTGTCCACTCTGCACAAGTACAGGGCCTCTGCTTCCTCCCGTGTGCCTGTCTATAAATATATATAAATATATATAGACAGGCACAACTCAAAGTGGAGGCAGCACCTTGATGGCTAAATGGGATTAATTGGGAACCATATGCCACAGGCCAACCAAGATGAGACCAACTGGCAGTAGCGAAGTCTGAGGAGGCGCATGGGAGTTTTATAACCTCGAGATTCCAGCTGGCACCTTAACCTCTGATAAAAAGATATTTTGGAGACTTCAATTATCACTGTTCTTCAGTTTCTTCACTTTTATATTTTCTTTCATGTTTCAACCAGACAAACTTTCCCAGGACATGTTAGATCGATTAAAAGGGTCCAAATAGGACTCAACAAAAACCTTCTCTCCTTCAAACTAATCTCAGGGGCGTTTGAGGATGTGTCCCAGTTGGCTCCAGCAGGTTCTTTTATTGATTTGAAATGCTGTTAGGCTCTAAGATGCTATTCTTGTTCAGAGTGAATCAGGGACACATGTAAAAAAATGTTTTCTGATGTGCGTGAACTGGGATCTGATCTGAGTTTCTGTTCTTTCACCCCTGCCACCATCCAAAAACAAAGTCAGAATCTAGCCTTGTCACCACACGTCCTTGGCCTGTGTTCGAGCACTGAGCCTGGAGGAAGCATCCAGATAATTTTATTTATTTAATATAGCACTTATCTAAATGAGGCTACAAATAAAATTTCCTCTGATGCTTCCACACTAACCCAAATAAATCCCAGGATGATCAGCAACACACAGTCTTCTGGGAGATTTGCTGGAAAACTGCAGTAAAGGATCTCATGGACACTGAACTTGTTTGTATCCATTGTAGGTCAGCACTGATTTATTAATTTTTTTTTAGCAGAAGGGAAATAGTTTGCTTCTCCCTCAGCACTAGACTGCAGGGCCCTGGTAAGTAGAAAGCTTAAACTGATGGCAAACTGAGCAAACTTCCTCTTTGTCAATCTTAATTCTGTCTGAGCTGAAGGTTTTGCTTCATAATCTGAAATGGTCAGACCGGTTTTATTGTAAATTTGTGAATATTCCATGTTGAGTATTTAACGAGAAACTCCGCGCAGTTCTTCTGGAGCTTGTGTGTTCACAGCTTGGTGGAGGGATGAGCCCTGGCCCTGGGAACAACACATTCAATTCTGAGGTGGTTGACTTCAAAAGTCACGGTCTCCTGATCAGTTGATTTGAAAGTCTGGTCTGTCAATGCTCCCGATGGACAGGCTCTAGACTCAGTTACCCTCCTGAGTGGACAGGAAGAGCTTCAGTGTCCGTACAGACAGTCAGGGAGAAAAATACTGGATCACAACTGACACTCATGTCAAGTAATCCATGACTAGCATGTTGGATTTAGTGTATATACGTTTTTGCAGAGATTGTTTAAACTTTCATCTTCTCTACTTACTTCTGTCCTTCTTCACGAACAATCGCCCTCTCTCTCTCTCCGTTCCTCTCCTTCTCCCTCTCTTTCTAATTCCTCCTCCGCTGTACAGGAGGTGTCAGCTTATCAAACTCTCTCCGTCACTCTCCTCCCTCTCTCCTTTGTCTGCGTTCATCACTTCTCTCCTCCACAGTCCTGCCATAATGAGTAAAGGTCAGCGTGTCTGCTCGCTGCTGTTGTGCTGTCGGAGTTCATGTCTGTTACTGCCGAACCTGCGAGCGCTGGCCTTTAGCTGCCGCCCTAATGAGCAGGAGGTGCGACGCTGCAACAGCTGGAGGAGGAAGAACACCGGAGCAGGAGGGAAGAAGATTCAGTTAATTTAACCCAAGGGAAGCAGCATCTATTTTACAATCATAAATATCATTTTAATAGGGGATTTGGAATATTTACATATGTTGTTGACAACACAAAACTTTAGGTAGATAGATAGAATTGGAGAATATGCTCCATTTTTAATTAATCAATAATGAAGACGGTTGCGATCAAGTCCCTGTTACTGGGACACGTGATGATACGGAGTCACATTGACTAACGATTCCAACTTCCGTGCTTCACCGCTACATCTGTCCACAGCTACTTTCAAACATGAACTTAAATGTCCAATTGCTCCAGAACGTTTCTTGCCGGCCCCCTAATAAAATGTCAGTGAGCCGAAAATATCCGGAAAACACGATTTAAACATGCGACAGACGCAGAACTGAGGCGCCACACATAAGACGATTCAATTCAAGATCTTCCGGCGATGAGATCCAGTCCAGTCGATGTGCTGTGAACAAAAACATGTGATTTCTGCTGCAAAATGTTTTGTTAATTCCACTTGAAACAGTGTAGACAGGGAGGATCGCTGTAGTTCATCCTGCTATAACAACATTCTTTAAATTAGTCGTGATGAGGAAACGTGGCAAATTTGACTCAGTGTGTTTAAAGGGTTGTAACAGCATGACGTCTCCTTGGCAACGCAACCAAAAGTGCTTAGGCTGGTGTGTGTGTGGGTGCACGCACACGTGTGTGTTTGTGTGTGTGTGTGTGTGTGTGTGTGTGCTCTGTTGGGTAGAAATCCCATCTGCTGTTGAGGCACCATGGATTTGCTTTGGCCTGACTCAGCACTTTATCTTAACCACAAGAACACACACACACACACACACACACACACACACACTGCTCAGTATTCAAAGTGTCATTATCTCGTCACAGCCTTTTCCATCACCCCTAATATTTTTTCATAATCATGCTCTGTCATAGCTCTCCCTGCTCTCTCTCTTTCTCTTTCTCTCTCTCTCTCTCTCTCTCTCTCTCTCTCTCTCTCTCTCTCTCACACACACACACACATATGCCAGCAGCATCCAACGAAGAAGTGAAATTGCAGCTGTATGAGTCTTGCTTGTGTCTTTGCAGATGTTATTGTCTGTCAGTCTCTCCTTCCCTCTGTTCTTTCTCCTCCTGTTCAATGACGCAAACACAGTCGTCTTTTCTTGATCTTCACTTCCGTAAAAAACAGTAAAACCAAATGTTAGGAGACACAAACACCCATCAATAAAACATTTGTCACACGAGAATAGTTCAAAATTGGGATTGTAAATTCACATTCACTGTTATTTATCTACTTTCTGACTTTCATACGTGATAGCCCCACTGACAAATACTGTCCTTGATCATGAGTTTTTTCAGTTTTAATCAGGAGCTGTACAGTTAAATCTGTCGCCCTGAAGTGTTTTAACCCGAGTGTAACTCACTTAACATCCCTGATAATGAGGCTTTTATTATTTATCATCTTGAAACCCAGGGAAGTGCTTGACATTTTGCGGGGTTTTAAATCTTGGAGCATAAAAATGGACTTAAATCAAATCCAGAAAGTGGATAAACTACATTTATATTTACTCTGTATATCGTAACATTACAACTTGAAGCTGTGTTTCCTCTCAATGTGCTGACTTCTAATATCTGCAGACCCCCCCTCCCCCCCCCAACCACCACCACCGATCAATCTGGGCACATCACTCAAACATATGAACAAGCACTTCGTGTATCTAGCTCAGTTTTCATTGGACGGCACAGACTTGAAATTCACAGGCTCATTTCAGGAAGATTGAAATGAAATGAATCACATTTCACTCCTGTGATTTTTCTCTTGATCCTCGCTCGCTCTTCAGTCACCTCTGCCAGCCTCTGCATTCCCCCTCCTCTCACACTCTCAGACACACACATTATTGCATTAAAGATATATATGCAGTTTTTTTGGTGTCTGTCCTCCCTGCAGGAGCCGGAGGTTGGTCTCCTCTCGTCTCCGACAGATACCAGTGGCTGGAGGTGGACTTGGAGAGGCGGACCCAAATCACAGCTGTCGCCACGCAGGGTCGGTACGGCAGCTCTGATTGGCTGACGGCATACCTGTTGATGTTCAGCGACACGGGACACAACTGGAGACAACACCGACAGGAAGACAGCTTAGGGGTGACTGTCCTGCAATGATCAGTAACAAAACCGATAATTCAAAATGTGATGTATGAAGGAATATGATTTCATATAAACCAGATTACAAACCAGAACTTTTGATTCAATCTAATGAAACTACAGTCGGGGTTTTAAATTCTGCTTTAGGCATTAGAAGGCAGAATTTAATAGAGGACCACATAAGTGAAAACCTATAGGAATTAGGCAGGTTTGTTAGTTTGACACAGTAAATGTCCTCACTATGGTTCGACGATCAGCTTTAGTTTTTCCTTTTCTATTTTCATGTTGGTTAGATAATTCTTGGATAATTGTGCTGCAGTTGCACCATATCAGCTATCAGAGAGTCTTTGAATGCAACACAAGAGCCGAATGCGAACGCGAAGCAGATATCGTGCGTCAGCGTTCACCGAAGCTGAACCCCACGTGAAGCCACACTGATATTTGCTTTGCCACAAGAAACATGTGTTCTATTCAGCTCCTCTCTCGCACAGATTGGAGGAGAACGGGAGGTTAAGGTTTGTCACTGATGAGTTCAAGTATGTGTGACCGGGGCCTCGAGGACAGTTTTCAAAATGGTCCCATTGAATGAAATTTGGTACAAAATACAAACTAAATTGACACAGAAATAAAGCTCAAGCTGCACAGAGCTGTTTGGATGTGTTCTAAAATGACACAATAAAAATATGAAATATTTTTTGCAGGTTAGTTTTTCATGTTCTTTCATCTCACTGTGTTTTAATACCCTTGTACATTAGAAAACCTCCAGTTATACAACATGTGTCACTAACGGGATGAAGACACGCTCCTGAACATCAGTGTCAAACAACATTGAATATATTTAAAGCTATGAATAGCTTAAAGCTTCGGGTGGAGTGCAGCTCAATACTGAGGTTCATTGAAGTTAAAACATTTGGCCTCACTGTCATAGATATAATTTACATTATCTGCGGGGACCGTTCTGCCTGCTCACCAGGAGCCTTTCACTCTTTATTAAAAATGGATGGAACAATGAAAGGAACCTGGGCCGGGCTGTGTCGACTGCATGGAGCTGCTGTCAAACAATTTAACCTCTGCTGACAGGAGGCTGGTGCTGTTGCTGCACAGACTGCCTGCTGTACAAAAAGAATCACAGCTTTGATTCCTGCGGCGTCGAAGGTGTCCATCAACCGTCTCCGAGCAAGTCGCTCGTTCACCGTGAGCCAGTCTCGATTAGTGTCAGCTCAGTGCCTAAAATGTAAATGTGAAGGAGGAACCTGCGAGACGTGCATACGGTGATTTAAATATTCTGTTGAGCAGAAGTCCTCAAAACGGGAACTTGGGAGAAACTCTCCACTGAGGCTGTATCCTCATTATTTTCCAGCATTTTACATGATTTCTTTAAAACAATTGCATGTCTCATTTTCCTGTGAAGGAGAAGAATGACTGATCACCAGCTGGCAAACGACTGCATGTCAGACTGACAGGACGCCACACAGGCCTCCGCAGATTGAACAACATTAGACATGATCCAGAAGCAGTCGAGCATCTCCTCCCTCCGTCATGGAAGACAGTGCACTCCTCTTGTTACAGGATCAGCCTGGAGAGCAGCGTGTGATTCAGATTTGACAGGATACGATTTTCTCTCAGCGAAGGGTGCGAACGCTGCCGAGCCGAGCCCGCCAGTCATCACAAAAAAAGAGAAAGCAGCCTCAAAACTTGTTGATTTTACTCTCAGCATGAAAGGTGATAAACCCAGATCAGCTCCCAAAGTGTTTTTAAAGCTCCATATATTAGTCAGGCCGGCTTAGTGTGTCTGTTAGGGAGGAGATTTGCAAAAATAGCTGTATCACACACACACACAGCCTGTCACTGACTCCTGAGCTTACATGCTCCGTCTTACTCCTTCTGCTGTCTAGTGGTGGAAAGTAACTGAGTACATTTACTATACAGTGAGATTTGAAGGTATTTTAGCTGAGTAATTCAGTACAGTACAGTTCAGTGCAGTCCAAAGACAAATATAAATGTTATGTATTTATTAGATAACTATAGTTCACAGTTAAATACCTCACATATAAAATATTGGAGTATTATTTTATATTTTTGCATTACTGCTTCCATGACTTCTACTCCAATACATTGTACTTTTTACGAAAAGGCAGATTGTAAAAATGTGTTCAAGACTCATGCTTTTGGAAATTGTGGAAATTAAAGACCCACTTACTTCCACCTGTGAGGAGTCACCATGTTGCTCGTGCCCTCTTCCTCCTCTCTACCCTCCTCAGTTCAGCTCCTTTCAATTCCCTGTGCTTTATTGGCATGAATGTCAGGTGAGCAATATTGCCAAAACGTCAAGGATAATACTGTTCAATAATGAGATGAGGGGAGAAAAAAAAGAAAAGAAAAGCTTGTCAGAGGCTACTCATATTTCAAAAGATGCTCAGGCGAGTAAATGAGATGCCGCTCTCCTCAACCTCCTTGGCAGGAAACAGCCATTTGTTGAGCTGAACGCTCCGCTGCCCCGCCGGCTCAGCCCTTCACAGCTCTGAAGACGCAGCTAAGATCCCAATCATGCAGCACCAGGAGAGACAAGTTCAGCTGCACAGCCACATCAGTACACATTCTGCAGACACACACATAAACACGCTCACGACTTCTCCACGACATCTCCACGACTCCAGAGGACGTAACTGACTTTCATTCACCTCCAAGAGACTTAACTCTTATCTGTTACTTTGACTTTAAAATGTAATGATTTACATGGACACACACACAAACACCTCTGCGTCTCCACGACTTCAGAGGATATGTGTTAATAGAGATCAGCCAAAATGTCATCTGGCCCTAAAACACAGACAAAAGGTATCACTGGTTGTGTTTGTGTCAGAGAACGAAGAGCACGGAGAACGGACACAGAGTCTGGGCCTGGACATCCGCTGTCTTCACATTGGCCCTTACCCCAAGAGGTTAATTCCTCATCAGACAATAACCAATGGGCTCTTAGCTCCTCTGCCAACCTTAACTTCACCATACCTCAACCCTTAAAACATGTCTTTGCCTTCAAATGTAATGATGCACATATGCTGAGCTGCAGATTTTAAGTGTTGCTCTTGGTGTGAAAATTTCCCATCAACCAAACAAAATCCTGCTGGATTCCCACGAGCAGCTGATTGGGAAAATAGGAGCCATTAGTCTTTTAAGAGAGGCTGTGTACGGAGACTGAATAGGTCGCAGAGTTATTGATCAATGAGGAGAGAGAGGGAGAGAGAGAGAGGAGGAGAGAGAGGGAGAGAGAGGGAGGGAGAGACAGTATTTGCAGGATCAATGGCCTCTGGGAGCTCGATGTCTGAAAAATGCAAAAAGACTCTCTCAGGATCACAGAATTTTTTTCTCCACTCGTCTGCAGTAAATTTCAACATGAGCTCTCACTTCTAATGGATCTAATGGTTTATCCACCTGATGAACTGTTTACGAAGCAAAAAGAAAACTTTAGTTTCTTGGAACATCAGAAGAGAAAGAGAAATAAAAAAGACCAATGACAGAAGTCGACGAGTTAATCATGTGTGATTATCAGTTACAACAAGCAGACCTGTTCCCTGCAGCAGGAACCAGTCAAATGTTTTGATGTAAAAATTCTGCAAATGAACTTATAGTTCTGTTGTTCCAGGCTTTCCCGGGTAACAGCAATGCAGACACGGTGGTTCAGTACAAACTGGATCAGCCCGTCATCGCTCGATACCTCCGCCTGGTGCCACTTGACTGGAACCCCACCGGACGAATTGGACTCAGACTGGAAACATATGGATGTCGATATAGTAAGTCCCAGTTTATGTCTTAGTCTAGTATTCTTTTGTCAGGTTTGGCTCATGGGATTTCTCTGGACAAACGTTTCTGTCCATTATATTATTAGTGTTCAAATATACGTTCAAATATCTCAAATGTAAATGGATAAAAAGATCTTCCTCCTGCTGCTGCGTGTCGTCCTGCAGCTTCTGATGTGGCAAACTTCGACGGCAGCAGCAGTCTGGTCTTCAGGCTGAGTGTTCGGCCGAGCCGGACGGCGACGGAGACGATCTCTCTGAAGTTTAAAACCATGAGGAATTCTGGGACGCTGCTCCACGCTGAGGGTCAGAGAGATCACAGCCTCACTCTGGTGTTGGATAAAGGACGACTGCTGCTTTATCACCAACAAGGTACGACATGAATCTTTCATTATGTTGCCACAGTAAAACCTGCTGAATTCACGTGTTCCAGTAGAACCAGGACTCACTGTGGTTTTATTCAGGTGTGATTGTGTCAAGACATTCCTGACATTTTCTGTTTGCAGGATATTAAAGTCAATCTGACCTCACAAAACCATTTTGGCCTTGTGAACGTGTTGTCTTGGGAGGATAACTTTCAAATGTTCCATAAATGTTCATACAAAAAACGCAAGTAGTCTACTTCCTGAACTTAGTTTGTTTCTTTTTTTAATCATTCAATATATTTTTGACGTTCTCTCTGAGGACTTTGCTGGCCAGCTCTTACATTCATTGTGCATTTACTGTTCATTACTGTGAGCAAATGTCAGCTAAAGGCCTAAACTCAACTGTGCGGTGTAATTATGCGCTCATTCAGGCTCCAGTGCCTCCACCGCTCTAAACAGGGATTTTAATATTCAGTACATCTTCATCCCCACAATGAAACAGGTGGATCTTCAGGCCGGTTTTGTCCATCTGCTAGTTTACTTATACATGTTTTTCAGAAGTGATTTTGACATTATGCTTCTTGATGAGCTCACCATGATGTTTTCTTGTTTATGCAAATGTCTCAAACAATAAATCTTGGATAAAAAAAGATGCATTTCACCATTGCAGCGCTGCAGATGCAGGCCTCTACATGTTGAGTGATTGTGAATGAGGATGGTATCATTTGTTGGGGGACAGATGTTTTCTCCTTTCATTTTTTTCACAGACTCCTTTTCCCCACTTTCCTTCAATCAACTGGATCTCCCTCTCTTTCTCCCTCTGGTTCTCTCGCAGCTTGACTTCCTCTCTCATATTCTCTCTCTTTTAATCTGTGATGGATGTGAGCAACATGTGTTAACAATGAACTCTGCGGAGCACGTGGGATCAGCACAGCACAACATGATCAATGGCCTGCACAGAATGGAGCAGTGTGGAGGCATTGGGAAACGTGTGTGTGTGTGTATATGTGTGTGTGTGTGTGTTTAAACCTGAGTTGTTGTTGGGCTGCAGGCCGTCGTAGTAGCGCCATATGGCAAACCTCTCATCGGTGGTGCCATCTGGCTGCTGAAGTACTCTGCTCAATAACCGTCCCTTCATTTAGAGCTGAGGGCTTTTCTATAATTTTAAAATCATTCGACATCTAAATATTTTCTCAGGGATTTATTCTCTAAATGAAGTTATATCTCAAATGTGGATGAACTGTTGATAATAATTCATCCTAAAAGTTCATTCTGCAGTCATGTAGGAATATTTGTGCTAAATCAACAATTCCTACTAAAACTTTTTTCAGAACATCCTTTTATTATAATTTTGAGACTCCAGGAGGTAGAACGGGATGTCCATTACAGTAACAAGAGGGTTTATGGTTTGATCCCCAGCTCCTCTAGACTCTGACACTGAACCTCAAATTACCTTTGATGGCTCTTCTGTCAGACACAGACACTGAATGAATGTGGCTTAGACTGGATAAGCTGTTTTTAAATGCTGTAGATTTACCTGTGGGTGGAAGTTTCTATTTATCAGCTATTTGCATTAGAGTCGTACAACTAGATAAACATTGGCTGCGGCAGAAACATCTTTCTTTCAGCACATATTGCAGTCATGGACTTGTGACCACACAGGTGCACACAGACACACGATTGCAAACATTAGTGCTGGACTGTGAGAATGCTCACTCAGTTCTTGGCACATTTCATTATGTGGAAATGTGGAGAGGTGAGAGTGTGCGACCATCATTACGGAGCTGACCTGAGTTATAATCGTGTGCAGTGGCAGGGAATGGAAATCTGCCACATGCAGACGTGTTGGCATTTTGTTTAGGTCGTTTGAGGAACGAGAGTATTGCATTGTTTTTTGGACAGTTGTAATATTGCAGCTGTATATTCACATATCATGTTGAACGCACTGATGTGGAGATGAAGGTCTGAGTGAGACTCTTATTAAAAAAGTCTGAACCGCTCCCTTTTATAGATGCACACTTATTGTCAGAAATATTATGCCACATAATTTAAATGTATGCCAGTATTTTTTATTATTCTATTGCAGCAGCATTGTTGATCCATTTGACTGTGTCGTTGTTTAAATCTATCAGATTCTGGTTCAAGATTTATGACTTTATTCTATAATACTATACTATACTATTCTATAAGACATTTAAAAGTTTCTGGGAAATTAAGCAGATTCTAAACCCTACGCTCTCTCTCTCTGCTGTCTTCCATCCTTCACACTTGTCGTGACCTCCCTCTGTCACTCCCCCACTACAAATAAAAACAGAATAATGTCCCTTATATTCCCCTTACTTTGGGAAACGGTGGAGGAATATTAATTCCCTGGTGGTATTGTCTAGTGTCTGGCAGCCACAGAGCAGTGGCATCTGCAGGAGCAGTCAGTCTGACATCAGCTCCCTGAGTGACGCCTGTCACGTCTCCCCACCAGACCCGAGCTGATAGTCAACAAAGAGCTTGAGAAACTCTGGGTAGCAAAAGTAAACAGGCCTAATGGAGCAGAGACGAGGCTGAGCAGTGATGATCCAGCAATACGGCCGGTACTGATGCTGTGCCTCGATCACACTGCTGTCACTGCACACGTCTGTCTGTGGCTCACTTTCTCTGGCTGCCCTCTATCTTTCCATTCCTGCCTTTTCTATTTTCTCCTCTTTCCATTGTTATTTATCACAGCCTCTCCCAAATGTCGCCCCAATTCTGGCCCTGCTACTTTTCCTTTTTTGCTGGGGCGATTATTTGCCTTTTTCAATTGCATGCTCTTTATCTTTCTCTCTTCTCTCTCTCCCTGTTTTTGCACACAGCCTCTTTACTCTCCCAGGAGCTCGCAGTCTGTAGACAGGGTAATTTAGATCAATAGCTCAGAGCATCCAGCCTGAGCCACAGCATGCTCCTCCACAGTCAGAGGAGAGGAGAGGACACGAGAGGGCAGGAAACAAAAGGAGAGGAGGAGAAGAAGAGAGGGCACAAGAGGACAGGAAAGGAGTAGAGAGAAGAAGAGGAGAGGACACGAGAGGACAGGAAATGAGTAGAGAGAAGAGCAAAGGAGGAGTAGAGAGGAAGAAGTGGACAGAAGAGGAGAGGAAACAAGTAGAGAGGAAACGAGAGGAGAAGAGAGGCAAGGAAACTAAAGGAGAGGAGAGGAAGAGGTAGCAAGTGGAGAGGAAACGAGTGGAGAGGAGAGGAGAGAAGGGATTAAAAAGCTGTAGATGTATTATCTCCATCGCAGAGTGTGAGAGACGCTCTGAGACGCTTCATAATTATCTCTCAGCCTGATCCTGTCACAGTACAACACGTTTCCTTGTGAGGCGTACACTTAATGAAGGTTAACACTGAGCATCAGGGACATGTGTAACTTAAACATAATGATTTCAAACAGCAAATGTGTTTTAAGTTGGCGAGTAACGCTCATTAGCATAATAATAAATGGCTGAATGAAAGCAGAGAGACAGAAGGACAAATTCAACAGTGAGATCGTCTCTATCCATCTGTGTCCAAGCTGAAGTAAATTGGCTGGTTCATTAAGATTTATGTCCACTGTCCAAAACCGTCTCATTTCCTTTCTGCTTTACATTTATCAAAACGTCAGTTTTCTGTAACGAAGCCCACTGCTTCATAATTCAGCTCAGAGGCTGCAGCACGCAGCAGTAAATACACAGAGGGCTGCTGCTCTGGACGAATGGCGTTAAGAGTTGCCGACTAAATTAGGATGGCATCAAAGAGGCATGCTGGGTAAGCTGCATGGCGAGCAAAAGCCTGTCTTTTCTCTGTATTCTCAATAATGAGGACGTGCTATTGGTCGGTTCTCTGGTGACTGGTTGTGATTTTCAAAAAAAACTGATGATTTGAGATTTTACAGTAACAAAACATCAGCGTGATCACAAAGGTTTGTCACTAATCGCTCAGAGCAACAACACATCCTCCTCCAGCGCAAAAAAAGGAAAAAAGAAAAGAGACGGCTCTCTCTGGACAAAGTCTGCCAGTTGGCACAGAAGACACCAGACTATGAAATGCGGTGATTACTGTTGCGTTCGCTCACTCCGTCTCACTTAGTCTGCTGATGATGTTCAGTGAGGCTCCAGGAGCTCCTGCTGCAAACGGCCTCAGAAGAGTTTTCGGTCGGCAGCCTGGCTGTTTTTAGACGAGCCTGGGACACAGAGAGCGAAGGGACTCTGCCCTGCTGTGTAATAGGTTTTTTTTTTCTTACTGCTGACTCCGTCTGTGCAGCAGCGACAGTTTTCATCACAATAAAAAATGAGTTCACAGTTGCAGAGTCAAAAGGCAAATGTAAATGAGTGTCTAATTTATCATCCTCCGAATACAGAGAGAGAGAGAGAGAGAGAGAGAGAGAGAGAGAGACCTCAACCTGAAATAGGTTAATGCTCTATGTGGCAGTTTACCCTTTGGAGTGTCTCCTCCATGTTAGTGGATGGGACAAACTGAAAAGTCAAGGTACACGTCAAATGTTTTTTCAAAGATGCTATCTGTAATTTTAGGAAATTCTAATCACACTGAGGTTTCATTTTCCTGTTGTGTATCCCTACTTTTAATGTGGTAACTCCACACTTTTTTGGTTTTATGTAAACTTGTCTATTAATTAATTTGTATATAATTGTCGACTTCTCAACATGTTTTTTTGATGAATCGAATTAAAGAAAGAGAGAGAGACAGTGAGATGTGAAACAGCGTGATCATCTCTGTTTTTCTTTTTTTTACAGTTTGTTTCATGTTAATAATCTCAACTCCCCGCTGTGATTAAAGATGTGACTTGGTTCAGAAAGGACATTATTTTTACAGCATGTGACGTTGACGTCATGAAACAATTATCGTAGTCTGTCTCCTCCTCCTGTCACTGTCGTCCTCCATAAACAGATTCAGCCTTTATCTCAAACCGAATATAGTTAAGCTGTCGGGATAGGCAGACTCCTGGAAAGTGGACATCTCTGTTCAGCTCCTCACTTTAAAGACACAGACGTTCCGTGTGAGTCAGCTCACAGTGGACAGCTAAATCAAGACGTTAATACCAGGAAACACAGCTGCGGTCCTTCCAGATGGACAATAAAAACGACGGGATGTTTAGTTTCCTGCTCGCAGGTTTAGTAGTCAATGAGATGAGGGATGAGAGAGACGAAGAGAAAGAAAGAGGGAGGATGTTTTCATGAATGAAAGTGAAGTGTTTCTGTAATTGTTTGCCCTCAGACTTTGATTTCAGCATTGATCTCACACATTCTCTCCCAGGTCCACTTGTTCCGAATGTAAACGGCTATTGCTCGTGTAAAGATTGAATGAAAGAAATGTAATACAGCAGTTAGTAAGCGGTGGTGCAGTGCTGACCACTGTCATCTCACAGTAAGAGGGTTCCTGGCTCGAATCCTGTCTTTCTGTGTGGACTGTCCATCCATCCGTCCATCTGTCTAGCAGCGAAGCCACGTCCTACAATGATTTTGCAGCATCATCACTTATCTCATGCTCCCTCCGGCTAACAGATGATACAGATTTCTCTAATGAGAGCAGTTGACCTCAGTGACCTGCTCCTCGTTGGGAACAAAGATAAAAATATTCCTGCGACATTTCTGTTACTCGTTTTTGATCTGATAAATCCAGCGTGAATCTTTGCCAAAAGTAAAACACATTTTAGAACAATGTTTTATGAAGGACATGTGACCTTAAAGTGCTTTCGTGAGGTCGTACAGATGCACCCTGATGACGACACAACTGATGCTCTTCTTCTCCTCCCCTCCCCTGCAGATGTGAGTTCTTCCTCTGGCGGTCAGCTCCTTGTTTCTCTGGGAAGTCTCCTGGACGACCAGCACTGGCACCGTGTAAAGCTGGAGCGGCTCAGCACGCACATCAACCTCACTGTGGATAAAAACACGCAGCAGGTTCACATACCAGCCGAGCTCAGCCACTGGGATATTCGCCAGGTGAACACCACAGAAACACATCATTCATCTGTTTGAACTGGAACATTTACTCCTGAGAAAGTTGCCACGAAATGTTTTTTTTACAGCCACCTGTAGAGTTTTCATTGGGCGACACACATCACATGTGATGTTTCCCTGTGTGTGCAGCTGAGTGTTGGAGCGGTGCAGAGCCACGGGCTGCAGAAACCCATCTTGTCCAACAGGAACTTCCATGGCTGCCTGGAAAACCTGCTGTACAATGAGCTCAACCTTATAGACCTGACAAAACACAACAACCAGCAGGTCACCACACTGGTACGTTATCATGATCTATTATTACAGTTCATGCACATGTATTGAATTAATCTGGGGACGGCCTCTTCTAGATTATGTTATTGCCTCTGATAAATAAAATGCAATTTCGAGAGTTTAATCTTTGTTCTATCTTTATGTTGTGGCCACTGTTTGAACAACTATGAATATTTATTTTTCAGTGCGTGAAGCCTATAATATATTATATTTACCAATGTAATCAAACCAATTTCATAGAAATTAAATTCCCTTATATTTTAAACATAGACCATTAAGCTTAGAGATGATATATGTGAAACCTATTTGTATGTGGGGATGCATGGCTTCAAGCTTATTTCAACTTCTACCATGTAGTGTAGTATTTAGTGGTTCAGTTTAGTGTTTCAGATAAAGTTATCCAAAACAAAATTACACAATTTTCAGTTTGACATAAATATTTCACATCTGTTTGAATTACAGTGTAATTATTATCTGACTGAGCCAATTACACCATAATGATTCCCACGAGCAGATGACATCAACACTTGTCAAACAGCAAATCAAGTTGAAGCTGAAAGTGAGACTCTTTCCACATCGTCTCCAGACAAGAGTAATTTAAAACAACATTATTTAACTGTTCTATCCAGCCACTGACCTTGAATTTTAGAATTACAATAAATAACAGAAACCCAAATTAATTATTCCTAAACAACACTTTCTTTGCCCCACACCTGATGACCTGTTTCATCTTGTCTAAAGAGGAATGTACTGTTAAACTCTGGAAATATATCCTTATTAAGTTTTTATTATTATAATTTCTCCTGCACACACACACACACACAGACACACACACACAACCATATATAGTTTATTTAATTGCTGCCATGGCGACAAAGTGTAGAACAAGTTGATCACATTTTTTCACTTCAGACTTTTTTAGTTTTTCCTCCCACTCGTTCCTTATTTTCTCCCTTTTCTGTATCGATGTCATTATAATGTTAGTGGTCATTGTGATGATCATCATCATTATTTTTATCATGTGCATCATCATCAACTTTATTTTTACTCCCACATCATCATCATTGTCATTAGCATATCCATAATCTCCTTCATTATCATCACCAATGTCATCACATTCACATTTTGGCATCACAAAGCCCAAAGCAAAAAAACAAGCGGAGAAAAGATTCAGTGAAGAAAGGAGGAAGAAACTGAAAATGAGAACTAAGTAAAGAAGGAGAGGAGGAGGAGGAGGAGGAGGAGGAGGAGGAGGAGGAGGTGATACAGAAAAATCATCTTCTGTTGTGAATTAATCTCCAAAGAAAAGTTTTCATTGTCACAGCCAAGCTCAAGGACCGGGAGACAAGAGGGGTTGACAGTTAAAGAAAAGTTATTTATTTGCAGTAAGAAAATATGGAAATATATTTAAAAGATAAATCAATGTAAGAAAAGGGAAGAGACGACGAGAGAAATAACAAGGGAGGTTTTACGGAGCAGAGCATCAGACTCTGGTGCTGCTTCATTCATCAGCTGCAAAACCAAAAACAGAGAGAGCTCATTCTGACGTCATCCTTCCATCCATTATCTTCACTTTGTGTGTGGTTTTGTTTTGCGGGTGTCTTTATTTTGCCACTTAGTCAAAGTTTATAATGTGTTTCTGAAATCTAACAACAATTATTCCACCAGTAAATCATTTCTTAGATTAGGAGATGGAGAAATATTGAATGTGTTTGCAAATGTGACCTTTGTGACCCAAACGCTTGAAGTTGTTCAGCTTATTTTCTCTGCTCAGCAAATATCAATATGTTAATACAGATGTCCTTTCTCCAGGGGCTGCTGATGAGAACTCTGTGACATCGAGTTACACCGAGTCAGCCTCTGCAACTAATGAATATTCATGTTTTATTATCTCTTTTATAATCATTCTGCTCCCTCTCTCTTTCTCGTCCTCCTTCTTTTACTCAGGGCAATGTGACCTTTTCTTGTGCTGAGCCGGTTTCAGTCGCTGTGACGTTCACCGACTCCCAAAGCTTCCTACAGTTGCCCGGACTTCCATCGTGGTCATCGGGTGTGGTCGCTGTGGCGCTGCAGTTCAGGACATGGAACAAAGCGGGGCTGCTCCTGACCTTTGACCTCCCGCAGCTGGAGAGCACAGTCTGGTTGTACCTGAGCGAGACCAGACTCCGCCTACAGATCAGTAAAGCAGGCAGGGCCACACTGGAGCTCAGTGCAGGTGGGTCCCACTGTGTCTTTGCATAGCCTCTGCATCTGCTGACCGTGTTGTTCAGGTCAGTGACAGAGATTTAAGAGTGTGTTCCAAAAAAACAAATTATCAGAGTTTCTGTCCAAATGTGAAAGATTGACGATGAGAAAGGATTTTAAAATAAATTTCTACCAGCGGTTGAAATATTACTTAGTAGGTTATCTCCAGATGATGAATTGTGAGGGATGACAGCCCTGCAGTAGAGAACTATCTGCGAACTTGTTGTGTGAACTTGCTGCCAATGACAGTAAAAACTACACTGACGTGTAGGATTTCTCCTGGTGCTGCTGCCTGTTAAACTTATTTTGTCTGTTCTGAGTTCACTTGTTGCAGGACTCCTCACATGGTTCACTTCACCACCTCGAGCCTCAATGCAAAGAAAACGATTCATCTGTGGCTTTATTTTTATCTTCCATTAATCAGCAGTTAATATACTGTATGTTTGTGTGTTCAGGTTCAGGTCTGAATGATGGTCAGTGGCACTCGGTGGAGATGATCTCCAGAGAAGATTGTCTGAGCATCACTGTGGACAAAGACGAAGGAGCCACGGCTCACACCAGCATCCCACTTCCTCTAACCACGGCTAATCAACTCTTCTTCGGGGGTAAGACGATGTTATTACCTCCACGGTGTGTGCTGTTACAAAATCTTTTCCTGGATAGTGTCCAAGACGTGTGTTTAATAACTAGAAGCATCTCATTAAAAATATTCAAAATATCTTCATGTTGTACTTGACGTGTTTTGCTGTGCAGATGGGAAAACTGCTTACATGGACATTTAGGACTGGTTAAAATTCTCAGATGTACTCAGGTAATAATCATCATCTCCAGATCTCCATTGGATGTTAAGTGTCCCGCAGAGAGGGATGAAGTCGTAAAGCTGCTTCAGTTTCTCCCTCCCGCCTCCTTTCTCGTCTCTTTTCGAGTCAATTTCCGTCCCCTCCCCTCTGTTTCTTTGATGTTTCCTCCCTGAGAATGATCTTTCTCCTCTTCCTTCTATTCTCCTCCTTTTTGAAAGCATTTTTCTCGCTCCAATCACCTTTCGATTTAACTTTTCTTCAGCTCTCCTACTCTGTCTCTTCTCTTTCATTGCCAGGCGAAACATTATGTAGATGCCTGTAGTTTCTTACCCTTAAAGTCTCTCCTTAAAAAGTTCCAACACTGTGAAAATGTCTTCCTCATGTCCTACGATCGTCTCTACTCTACTGACTCTACTTCACATTTTGCCAAACTTAAAGGACTAATGTCCTGGTGCCAGACGCCACAGAGCGTCTTCAGTCGAGTCCATGCGTCGGTGGGTTGAAGCTGTTGAGGGACGACCAGCAGCATTTTGCAGCAGGGACGGTCGTAACGTTTTGCCTCATCAGTGTCATTTCATTCATTGTCTGGTTCTACAGTGTCGTCTGCTCATGAGTGAACCATTTAACAAATGTTAACTCACGGCTCATTAATGCTTCACTGTGGAGCTTAGACTGTTGCCAGCTTACCAAAGACATAACGCAGTCGTGTGATGAAAGAGTTACGGAGACAAATTGGATGCTACACGGTGAAGTGTATACATTTTTTCAAAGGTCCTTACATCTCCATCCGTCAAAATCGTTTTTTTCAGCTCCTGAATTCAAAGTGACATTAAACGGTGAGTCATCATTTCCCCTCCGCTGCTGAGAGGTGTGGAGCTGAGCGTGTGATGGGCGGACAGTAATTAGAGCAATGCAGAGCCCGGAGCTGGAGTTGCTGCTGTATTTGAAAGCAGAACGCCTCCGTCCAGGATCAACCCTGAGCATCATGAGTCACTGATGGATAAGACACGGAGCTCTGGTGTGACTGACTGAAGGGTCTCGTATATAACACGACTTTTCAGCTTTGAGTTCACTCGACTGTGTTTGTGGGAAAAATGCAAAGCGTGGCACCTGTTATGGATATAAAGATGGATGAAACACATCCACTTCCTGGTTTTGTGTAGTAAAGCCTAAATTCAAAAAAGTGTAAAAGTACAGGTGCATGTTATAGTGATCCTACGAATGGCTGAACTGCCTCATACGATCAATATGTTTGTGCTATTGATTGATTGAAAGAATATATGAATTAAACCGAAAGTTGTGTTTGACTCCATTTTACTAAATGATACAAAGAAATCATCGTACAAACAAACACAGAGTTGAGTCTGACCGTGACGGAGTGTCCCGTGTTTCCCTCCGCAGGTTGTCCTGCTCAGCTGAACAGTCGGGAGTGTACGAACCCGTTCACCACGTTTCAGGGCTGCATGCGTCTCGTGACTCTGGACGAGCAAACTGTGGACCTGATTAAAGTACAGCAAAGACTGCTGGGAAACTACAGCCACTTGCAGATCGATATGTGCGGCATCATCGACAGGTCAGTCTCTAAAAATACCCTCAGAATTGAAACCTTGAGTATGATCCCTTATATATACACTTAAGGTTAAAGCAAGAAAGTATTTTTCTCTTTGGCTGTGATCGACTCTGTGGATGTTCCTCTGCTTTGTGGGTCCTGTGGGATTTGTGAGAACACTTGTAGGAAGAAGTTTGTGATTTATTTTGCATTTCACTCTCGGTTTGGAGCTGATATTTTACATGCAGTGTTTTATTTTTACCAAATTCAATAAAACACTGACAAAAATGTAATGTCATTAGTTTTTTTTACAGTTTAACGTCAGAAGAAAAGTGCAGATAGATAATCAACCACTAGTTATGTCAATTATCTGAATGCTTAGCTTGTCTCTTTTAATTGCCAAATAAGTAAATTAAAAAAACACATGCATCCTTGGCTCCTGTACAGCTGCATCTCTCTGGAGGCTTAAAATGAATTGTCTGACTAGTGTCCCAAACTGCAGCATTATCAGATTGGTTAAAAGAAGAAGACATCATTAAGTGTTTTTTTTTAAAAGGTTAAAGGTGTTAAGGGAATTCCATCAGTGGAGGCTGGAGACAGAAAATACATCCCCTCATCATCCTGCTCTGGAACAAATGTGTTTAAAGTGAAGTAGATCACGATGCGTCTCACAGGAGAGCAAGCGGCTCAGTCTGGTGCTCATGAGGGTTTTAATTTCATTTGTACTGGTTTTATAAATTGTTTATGTTCTATTTTGTTTTACAGCAAAAGCCCTTTGAGGAGCCGTTTGGTTAATTGTTAATTCTCTTCAGTTATTAAAAAACGGAGCTCCCTGTCTGCCACTTCGATGTTGAAATGCTCAGTTTTCCAGAATTGAATTAAACATGTGTGAAGGCATTTTAAATATGTTGTGTTAGACTTTGTGTCCCTGAAAAGACACATGTGTAGAACCCCTCACATATCTGCTTGTTTGTGTTTTAGTGGGTGCACTGAGTGTCATTTGCACAGCATCAAGTGTAATGTGGGTAAATAAGCTGAACCTCGCACAATGATTAAAAATACAAGCCAATCCTGATGTTGACATTACAAGATTTAAAAAAGTTAAACATTTTTGGCTCATGCCTGATTCTTCCAAAAACTTTTGTGGAAATTCGTTCAGTAGTTTTTGTGTAATTCTGCTGACAAACAGACCACAGGTCAGCTCAGGGTAAGAAAATACATATTCACAAACAGATCAACATAATTACTGAGGAGATCGAAAGGTGTGGATGAAATATTGCATTACTAGACTTTGACCTTCCATTAAGATTAAAGGGATGCATGGAAAATGTCACATGAGACGATACAGTCTGACAACCTGCTGACGGAGGAGATTTACTTCAGGACGAGCTCTGGAGGAGGATGCTTTCAAATTTCTTAATAATTCACACTCTTCCTTCCCCACACGGTTATGTAAGTTTTAAAACCTGAGCCATCTCTCAGGGGCGGCTAAAGCACTTGTTTATGACGAGGAATAAAAAAGATCAAGTTGGAAAAATCTCTCCCTGAGGCACAAGAGCCAGCCTTTGAAATCAAGGATTGAAAATAGAACAGTCACCAGCTAATAATCTAAAACTCTCATTCTTACCCACTTCACACCACAGCCACCCCATATCTGCATAATGAGGAGCGCATGAAACTCTTGATGAGTGGATTCATTATCAACGAGAAGGAAACGTATTAGATGAAGTGATTATCAAAGCTAAAAAAATATAGGAAATAGGTTCTTATCAGGTTAAATAGACTGTTAGACGACCACCAGCTGCTGTGACGCTGCAGACCTGCACTCGACTTGAGTTACCAGGAGGGACTGTATGTGATGTTCTTCATATGTGAACGTGTCCTATTTTTAAACATTCAGAAATCCTGACGTCAACAGATCATGATTGAGGATGAGACTCATGTTTCTGGCTGCGTCCACTGTCTCACAAGCAGTGAGTGTTTCTTTGCTCATCACCGGGACGCTTCGGGCGTTCTGATTGTTTATTGTAGTTTCTTGGTTTTGCATATTGCTGGTAACCTTCGTTCTTTTTTCTCACCACTTTTTTGGGAATCTGTTGGCTGTTTGCTTTTCTGACTTCTGACGGCACGTTTCTCTGCTGCTGCACGCAAATAAAATCTGAGCTAAACCACAATAAAAAGTCGGAAAAATAAGCTCAATCGATCTCTTGTTCACTTCCTCGATGAACCTATTACGTGTGCATGCACCAAGAATAACGTTAAAAGTGCAGCACACTCTGAAGTATAAGGATTAAACAAAAGTTTGATGCTTGTACTTTGTTTCGAGGAGTTAAATAAGAAGGTTCAAAGGTTTTATTTGTCATCTGCACAACAGATACAGCGTACATGTTGGCGATGAAAATCTCAAATCCCAGGCACCTCAAGCAACTCAACAGTGTCAGAAAAATAATAAAATAAGAGTAACTAAAAATACAAATACCAATACACTAGTGCAAATAAACAAGAAAGTACAAATGTCATTACAGTAACTAGTGCAAAACAGAAAATAAAACACACAAGAAGCTATTGCTCTGAGATATTACCTGTCAGTTATATGAAATATACAATAAATGTTGGACACAGACCCAAAGTCTGACGTTGGAAAAGTGTTCAGGAAGTCTCTAAACTCACCACCTTCCTCACACTGACCTGTGTGTGTGTGTGTGTGTGTGTGTGTGTGTGTGTGTGTGTGTGTGTTGAAGTGAGATAGATGAAGCTGTCAAAAGGCTGTAATTCTGACCTCTTTGCTCCTGTCAGGTTTCTGACAACCTAATAATAACAACCTGTCAACGCTCACGCAACCGCCCACAAATAAGATGAAACACAGGTCACAGAGAGGTCCACGTCTTCTTGTTGTGTTTGACCGTCTGTGTGTAACTGTCCGTCCGTCAGACGCTGATTTTACCAACACGTCTGGATCTCTCCATGTGACCAAACTCACAAACGCAAACAAACACAAACACACAACTTCACACACTCAATTCAGGGGCCGCACCCTTGCACCCCCACACCCCCACACCCCCGCGCCCTCATTTGAAGACTGATTGCGTCACAGCAGCACTTCGGTGAAAGACGGTTTTTCAAAGAGGTAATGGCGGCAGCAAGCGAGGTGAAAACTCTGGAAGAATACATTTTTAAATCGTGGTTACTCAACTGAATGATGCACTTACAGTATTTTCAGCGTTGTTAATCACCTGAAGAACTTTCTCGTCCTCAACTCTGTTGCTAGGCAATGATGTATGGGTGGGACAAGCCGGTGACGCAATAAGAAGGCCAACGTGTTCTACGCAGCCGATGATAGAGACACAGCTTGTGTGTGTGTGTGTGTGTGTGTGTGTGTGTGTTTGTTATCTAGGATCAGAGCAGGCCGAAAGCATTAAAAAACCCACCTTCCTCTCTCGCTCTCTCTCTCTGCAGGACATCCTGCTCTACCTGTCCAGTAATAGAGTGCAGACGGGAGGTGCAGCGCTGTGTTGGTTTAGCCAGAGGCAGTAATAGAAACCAGGAGATTGGATGCGAGCCCTGTGATCCACGTTACATTATAGGACAGTGTCACACAGCACTCGAAACTTTTAGATAAGCTGCAAAGTCTCTTTTCTCAGTTAATCCTGGAGTCCTGTGATCCGAGCTCTGCTGCAGCACACTGTCACATTGCATTGCAAATCGTTAGTCAAGCTCGGAGCCCTCCGGAGATTTATAGAGGACAAAGTGTTTCGAAACTGGGAACTTTTAAGGCCCTGGAAAGATTTATAGTAGATGAAGTGATAAGAGCCACAGTTCAACTCGCAGTTTGACCCGGGCTTATGTTTCTGATTCCTTTTGTAATTTTCCGCTCCCTGTGCTCCTGGATGAGGCTGCGTGTGGCAGCCGGCTGCCGACAGCAAACTGGCTGCTAAGAAAATGATAGAGAACTCCTCCAATGCTGCTGGAAACAGTTTCCTACTGCGGCTGCAGACGATTCTTGCCAAGAAAAGTTTCACCAAACTTTAGCAGACTACAGCGAGAGGAAGAACAAAGTGGATTTTGGGGGAAAACAAAACTCCTGCAAAGAGGGTGCATGCACAGACATTTGTCCGCTGCTCCTCTCGTCTGCTCGAACAATGAAGATAAAGGAGTGAATAAACAAGGCTATCAAGACTTTTCATTCTAAAGTCTGGTGGGAGAAAAGTAAACTGTTTGACCTGCTGAGGAAATTAAGTTTGGATTATTCTCATTCAAATTTAAATAATCAATAGATTTCAATCATATTTTATTTGTGTAGCGTATATTCCCAAACACAGTTTGCTTCACAGGGCTTAATAATCTGTACAAGGTGCGACATCCTCCCCTCGATCGAACTGTCCCGTCAATAAATGCAAAAAGCCCCAAAATATGTTTAGTGGTAGAAGTTAAAATAAATCTGTGTGTGGGAAAAAAATATTTGTATCCAGGCTTCAGTAGATCTGCAGTGTGAAGAAATAAATAATAATAAAATACGTGTTTGGACTGAAAGTAAATTGGGAGTAAATATAACAGGATGTTTGGATTGAGTGGAAATGAAGAAGTAAAGATGGAGGAGTATCCATCATGTCACCATCTGATAATCAAACATCGTGTTTATCAATATCATCTTAGCAATAAGAACTAAAGTCTCTGTTTATAAGAACAGACTCATTTCTACACTGAGTGATGCTGCAGATTCACTCCTCTGACCTCAGTTAAACTGGTTCACTGTCCAAATCTTGCTGCTGCTCTCCTCCTCTCCTCTCATCCATCCTTCCCTCCGTCCCCTTCAGCCCTCTATTTCACCTCCTCGTCACCACCTCTCCCCCATCCTGCACCATCCTAATTCCTCATTCCTTCTTTACCTCCTTTTCCTCATTCCTTTGGATATCTTGATTTGTAATTGTTTCTCTCTCAAAGCACTTTACACACAGTTCACACATTCATGCAGTGAATCTATATGCAGCACTCTCTATCACTCAGCATACATTTGAAATGCAGACTGTAGGTGCTGGGGATTGAACCACCGACCTTCTGGTGGTTGGACGCCCCACTAATTCAAAACTTCATCAAACATTCATCTTGCACCAACCTATCACTGTTTTACACAATCATATTCTGAATGGGTCCAAGTTGATTTTTATAGCAGAAATATGTATAATTATATTTGTGCTTGCTAAAGTAGAAGATCGCAGACTGAACCCAATCTGTGTCTGACCTAAACTATTTTGGCAAAAGTCAAAAGTAAAAACAAAATCTTTTGTTCCCTCACCCATTGTTCTCTTGTTCTGTTCAGTTCTGTGTGGAAACACTTTTAAACCGTGACTTTAAATTGACTGATTCAATAAGTTTGAATTGTGCATTTATGTGTAACTTCATAGATTTGTGGAAAAATGTTTCTCTTATTGGATTTCCGATGTTAGAGTCGGTTTTAATGCATCGCTCCTGTGTGTTGAACATTCTGACCGTGCTACTGCAAATACAAAATATCTTACAGTTGATTTAACTGCACTCGGTCCCAGTTTAATATCCACTAAATTAACTGTTTTGCAGCGGACTCTTAAGCATTTTAGATTTCCAGCCACAAATGTCTCACCTCTAATTGCACCACAAATAAAGCAGCAGGTTTTTATTCAGCTCCTTGCTACTTATTGCAAGAGATTCATTAGAGGGATATGCAAAACAAAAATGTAGTTCTGAAAACTGCTCCAGCTCCAATTACTTATTTTATTCTCTCATTTATTATGGAATCGATCTGTGAAAAGTTTCCTCATCATATCACATCTAGTTCTTTCATCAGGAAAACTGAGGTTTGTCTTTGTGGCAGGTTATGAACTGATGACTTTGTTGTGTCATATCTTATTTAAATATCTCTGCACACAAAAAAAGGGATATTTCAAACCTAGAAACAAAGATATAAATTGTCTGAACTGAAACTTTTTCAGCTTTTATTGTGATGCCTCCTACACGCCTGCTCCTCAGAGGAATCAGGGCTTTTTCACGTTCCTTTCATAACACGTCTGTCTCTGTCTCTCAGGTGTTCTCCCAGTCACTGCGAACATGGAGGTAGATGCATTCAGTCCTGGAGCACCTTCCACTGCAACTGCTCCACCAGCGGCTACACAGGAGCCACCTGCCACAGCTGTAAGCAACTAGAGCTACGATACAATACAATGACAAAGTAAGAAGCTGCTTCAGTGTTGAAGTGGTCAAGGCTTTTTAATAGTAGGGAGGCAGTGAAACCAAAACAATGAGCTGAAAGGTGCTTAATGCTCCATATATCCGAGAGGAGCTACAGTCAGGTGATGATGCATTTATGTTTGGGAGGAGACTGATTGAAGCCATCAGGTTACTAATCCAATAGTATAATAATAATAATATGAAAATGGCCTATGTGAAGATGTACTGGTAAATGCTGTGTATTTAAATAGCAATTTTCTAGTCTGATGACAATCACACATTCTTACAGTGCATCTTTGTGCAGCACTTTCTCTATCACACACACACACGCACACACAACTTGTGTCTACTGTCTTGCCCGCCACCTTGGCATGCAGAGTGGAGGAGACGGGCATCAAACCTCCAACCTACTGGTTAGCGGACAAGCTGTTGAGCACAACAAACACATGTGTGTTTCTCAAAAAGCCTGAAATGAAAATTAATTAAATTTGCTGAACGACTGTTTCCAGACACATCTCTGTTTTTCTTTTAAAATTTAACGACACATCAAATATTTTCCTTTGAACTGCAAATCAACTCAAACACGTCTTAAGTACAAACTTAGCTTTAAAAAGACGGTAATTAACTCAAAGTTCCACATGACCTGCTGGCATGTGGAGACTTGCGGGTGAGTTTGCACCACATTTGGAAACACTGCTTCTCAATGAAAAATTGCCTGGTTGGTATAACACATGATGCAGTAAATAAAGTGTCGCCCTCTCTCCGCTGAGAGGACGCTGAGGAGAGAACAAAGCAGTGGCATCCTGCTGCAGATGAAAGCTGCAATTTCCTCCCACTTCTCACTTCAAACGGCTCACATCAACCACGGTGTCAGAGGAAACTCTGCCAGCGTCTCTCCACTTGTTTAGTATTTAGATTGTAGAGGTTTGAGGTTTTCCTCATGGTTCATGAGAAGAATCGTGATAAGAAGCAATTAAGGATTGACACAGAAGGATCAGTGCAGTATAGAGTTGTCCATTTTACTTGGATCCTTATAAAGAACCCTGGGCTTCATCAATGCCTCTTTATAATGACCCAGTTGAAACAATTACAGGCAACTAGATTAATTGTGTCAGTTAATTTTGAATAAACATGTTCTCATCAGTTGTAAAGTTTGCCATAAAGGTCATTCTACCATCTTATTATGCTCAGAATAAACGGTAAAATTACTCAGCTCCCTCCCCTGGTGAAGATGAACACAAGAGAAGGATAAAGAGATAAAGATGAAATAGAAAGAAGAGAAGATACAGAGAGACGGAAGTAAAAGTCATGACAGAAGGAGAGTGAGTCTTGAGGCAGATTCTCTCCACATAAAAAGATTTCAGCTCAGAGACGGCCGGAAGTGTTTTAGGTGAATCAAATTAAAGAGATTGTGGCTGTGATTACACGGCCAAGCATTGATTGAATCTTTCTCTGTGATGGGACGATGAGCTCCAGACAGGACCAGGGCAAACTCACACTCTCACGCAGATACACACACAAACACACACACTCAGGATTTATTGTTGTATTGTAAAAAAATGGGGGAGGCCTTTTTGGGAAACTTTGTGTTTGGGTATTCTAAACAGCACAAAGGGTTTTATATAATCTGTTTGCACCTAGTTTAGTTTTTGATCGATGCCTGTTTATTTATTTACCTCTTGACATCGCTGCTCTTCTTTCCTCGCCATGATATTTTTCTACATATATTTTGATTAATGATGTTTTTTCCTTTTGGGGATATTCACAATATTTTAAACACGTTTTAGAGACAAGTGGCGATCATTGGGGTCGATGATAACTGATGAAATCTTCTAATTAGAAGACATTTTCAAAGAAGACATTCTGTTCTATGAAATCTTTTCTGCACTTAATTGTTTGAAGTCAACACTGTGACGCTGGAATAACAGTAGTCTCAAAGTCTAATGAAATGATAATCATGCTTTGTTTATTACAAGTCTGTAAAGTTCTTACTTGATCCAAAGCTGCTGTTGATTCAGGAGAAAGTTATTTAGTTATTTTTGTTATTCGTTCATTGTGTTTTCCTCCCCAGCAACTTATGAGCAGTCGTGTGAGGCGTACAAACACAGAGGCAACACATCAGGGCATTATTACATAGATGTTGACGGCAGCGGACCAATCAAACCCCAGCTCATCTACTGCAACATGACAGGTAACAAACAAACACACACACACACACAGTACCAGTACATATCTCAGCTCAACCCAGTAAAAAGTCCCAGATTTACATACTTAGCCTTTATTCAATGTATTTCCCTCCATGTCTCCATTTTCCTTCCCACCAGAGGACAGGGCGTGGATGGTGATCCAGCACAACAACACTGAGCTCAACAGAGTCCACTGGTCTCCTGAACGAATCCAATACTCAGCCCACTTTGATTACTACGATTCTGAGGAGGAGCAGTTACTCGCCATCATCAGCCAATCAGAGCACTGCGAGCAGTCACTGTCGTACCACTGCAGGAAGTCCCGCCTCCTCAACACACCAGGTTAAGCCGCGTGAAAAAACTCCTTCATCTTCTCTGTTGAATTTAACACAACACAACACAACACAACACAACACAACACAACACAACACACCACACCACACCACACCACTACACTACACACCACTACACTACACAACACAACACAACACAACACAACACAACACAACACAACAGCCAGTCACCAGAGGCGTCATGTTTTTGTGTGACCTTGATCTTTCGAACGCAAAATCTCAGAAACAACTTGAGTGAATTTCTTAATTTTTGGTTTTAACATTCACTTGGACTGAAAAACGAAGTGATTCAAAGACACAATGATCTCATGTGACCCTTTCATTCATTCAATCATTTCAAATTAGGCACAAATATTCACTTATACTCACAGATTCACTGATTAGATTTAGGTGGTCAGAGGTCGCTGTGAGCTCACAAAACATGATATTTCAATTCTTTTTTTTTTTAACAACTTTTCTCTTTTGATGCTCCTCATTTTCCCAAAAATAGAATGTAAACTTATTGAGCATGTTTCTTTCTTCTTCCTACCAGAAAATAAAGCTCTTAGGTTTCAAAGTGCACTGAAGAATGTCACCTGCCACCAGTTTGTAAACCTACTTATCAGGATCCTTTTGAGGGAGAGTGGTCTGGAGAGAGCTGCTGCCCATTATCTGTCCAGTTTTATCAGGGAAACGGCAGAGATACATGATCAAGGCCGGGCAGCGAGGCTGTTGGGAGCCACTGAAGGGCTGGCACAGCAAATCCAATGGGGCCTTTTAGATGGATGGAGGGTGAAGAGAGCATCGTTCTATATATCTTCTTTTCTATGTCAGCCAAGCATGCACTTAAACAAACACATCTACAAATATGCGTGCGATGAAAACAACACTTTTAGAGACATTCACTCATCAGTCACTGTATCCTCATAGGATTTATTGTCGTAACTCTGTTGTATCATTCATGTGGAATGATTAATGTGTTTGTTTGTTTGTGTGTGTGTTTCAGAGGGGGCTCCATTCAGCTGGTGGGTGGGAGGTCCGGGCTCAGGTCAGATCCAGACGTATTGGGCTGGAGCTCAGCCGGGCAGTCGCCAGTGTGCCTGCGGTCTGCAGGACGACTGCCTGGATTCACATCACGACTGCAACTGTGATGCCGACTACGACCAGTGGTACTTTACTTCATGTCCTTTACATCAACCCTGTGTTGATGGAAGAGTTAGGAAGTCTATTAGGAGTACCATCCAAAATAGCAAAATTGTTTTAGCCCAGATTTGCCCCCACATCTGACTCACATACCGTGGGAAATGAATGCACTTGGGCGGTCCGCTCCTGTTTGATCGAGATCACAAGTCGGCCAAATCAGTCGTCAATCAGAGACTTCTTTTGTGCTACTTGGGCCATATTCACCATTTACCACATGGGCCACTTCAGGTTCACATCCAGATTACATCTTGCCACATTTGATTTTGGGATATTTGTTATTTTACAAGTGGCCACTTTGGGTTAAGATTCATTTTGTGCGGCATCGTTGCCTTAAGTGGCCCACATCTGTATGCTATGAGCAGTTCATCGGGTGCAACGGCTTTAAAAGATAGATTTTTGAATGTGTCTTGGAGCTGAAACTGAAAAGGTAGCATGTTGTTTCAGAGGCTGTAATCATGAGTCATTAAAAAGATTCAGCGTTTCCCCATCACATCCTGGTTTACTGGACTGAAAGGAGCCACAAGACGTCCAGGACAAATCCCAAGATATTTACAGATCCTTCTCCCTTCGTGTTTTATCCTCTCCTGTATTCAAATCCTTTCATCCACGCTGTGAGCAATTCTCTATTTAGGTCGCCTTCCCCAATCCTGTGACCAATTATACCGTTAAAGCCATTTCTCCCGTACTGTAACCAATCCTGCCTCCGTCTGCACCGCCAAAGGTCTGTCTTTCTATTATCTCCCTTCCTAAATCTGACTCTATTTTTACAAACTGTCTCCTGGTGTCGTTTTCACAGATTCACTGCGTCTTTCTGCGCCGACAGTCCCAGATTTATTTCTTGTTAAAAATTTGCAGAAACAAAAGCTGCTGGAAGGTGAAACACCGCGGAGCTGAGCGTGTTTGCAGATCAGTCGTTCAGCCGACGTTTCTTCATAAAAACGCTTCCACAAAACATCGTCGCAGACACGTTGAGTCAGCCCAGACTCTTTGTAGTGTGGGTTCAGCTGTTTCACCCGTTCTGACTACTCAGCTCGCTAAAGTTGATGCCCTCTTCTTCACCTTTGTCTACGCCTTCACCTTGTTTTACAGCTTCCTCTCTCCTCCTTCTTTTTCTCTACCTTGTCTTCCTCCAAATCCTTCATCATCAGCTAATCCCTCGATACCTAATCTCTCTTGTTTTTTCTCCTCCTCTTCCTCTGGTCTTCCTCATTCTCCTCTTGCTCTGCTCATCCTTCCCCTTTTCTTTCTCCTTCACCTCTTTCTACTTCATGTCATTCTCCTTTTCCTGCTCTTGTCTCTTCTCGCTATATTTTCCCCCCTTCTGCCTCCTTTTTTTCTCTTCTCTTTGATCTCCTCCTTCTTCGTCAGCTAATTCTTTCCTCCTCCTCCTCCTCCTCTGCTTCCAGGGCCAACGACTCAGGCGTCCTCACCCATAAGGAGTCTCTTCCGGTGAGGTCTCTGGTGCTCGGTGACGTCCAGCGGCCCGGGTCGGAGGCAGCCTACAGGGTGGGACCGCTCCGTTGTCATGGAGACAGTGAGTTCATTTCAGTCAGGGGTCATTTCTTTACTTCTTTGAAATATTTGAAAGCCATTTTTTTTAAGTTTTTTTGAATAGGTTGACAGTAAAAAGGAAACTTTTCAGTAATTTAAGTAATTAGTCCTTAAAATGATACAATGGTACAAATACTCAATTAGTCCTGGTTAATGTCTCTGTGATCTGTAAATGACAATTTATTCGGGATTTAATAGAGATATTAAAAACCAAGCAGAAATACGGCAAAACAAACAAATGTAGGTTAATGACTGCAAATATATTTGCTAATTGGGAAATCAATAGCTAAAGTATGACTCCATTTATGCTCTTTAACAACAACTTATGATGAAAAGATATATAATTAACTCAGCCTAGTGATAATTGCCTCTGATTTCAGTCTTCTGTTCAACAAGTAAAAATAAATATATAAATATAAACTTCCTACAAAGTAAATCAACATAAATGAGACGACACAGCTGGAGTTATGCTTTTGTTCTTTTCTAATTAACTGAACAGTTGGTTAATTTGTTTATAACACGATTTTCATTATCCAGTATCAAAATGAGCTGTATTTTAATAAGCTTTGTTCCTAAGCGATATATCACAAAACACAAAATAAAGAGGGACATTAGTTGTTTGTTTGCTTTTTTTTTTTTTGTCTGGCAGAGAACTTCTGGAATGCTGCATTTTTCAATAAGGAGACGTCTTACCTGCACTTCCCCACCTTCCACGGCGAGCTGAATGCAGACATCTCCTTTCTGTTTAAAACCACGTCCTCCTCTGGGGTCTTCCTGGAAAATCTGGGCATCAAGGACTTCATCCGCATCGAACTCCGCTGTAAGTGTGAATATAGGATTATTGTCATCACCAGGTTCCTTGATTTGTTCTAAACACCAGTTAGTGGGAGGATGTCGTACCAAGAAAAACAACCAAATCACCAAAAACATGTTGGGATCATAATACACTTTCCTGTTAAATAGGCAACAACGTTCTCCTGAAGTTAAACTTTTGCATCAAAAACTGTCGAGGTTATTGAATTTTTTTGAAAACACAAATTACCTGGTGAAGTTCTTAACCCTCAGGGGTTGAAGGACACCGCATTTCCAAATCAATATTTGCTGATCTTTCCATTATTATCTTAGCAATAATACAACCTGCAGACATGGTTCGGACATTGCCGGATACCTGTTGTTTGTGTCAGGGTGGACGCTTATTGGGTCAGTCAAATATTAGTCTCTGAGCCGCTCAGCTATCGTCTGATGTTGATTTCACCTCTGGGGGCAACAGCCAACATTTTGCGGCGTCCGGTGCAGACAGTGGATATCAGGCCCAAGACTCTGTCTTCTGTTCGCAATCCACTGTTTAAAGTCTGACTAGTTTCTTTTGTCACGAGTCAGACGTTTCTCCACAGGAGCAGAAAACATTTGGCTAATCTCTCAAGCTCTTTCCTGTTGATTGTTTGGTGCAGATAGAAGAAAGATTACTGGCCCCACTCTTTGACAGATGATTTGTGGGGACTAAGGTGTTATGTCTTTCTAATGTCTCCCTGTCTCTCTCTCACACGATCATGTTCAGACATTAGGATTCAAGGTGTCCCTTCTAGTTGGCTTTGTTATCTCTGCTGGTATTATGACAGCTGGTGTTGAGGTGACGCTATCATTAATAGTGCTGCTTGACTTGACTGGAGGCCAGAGAGCAGCTGCTTTATTAACTTATTCCTCTGGGTCTTTCTCTCTCAGAGCACCACAGTCCCATGTGGGTGCAGCTTTCCCTCCACTGACGGCTTTGTCCGTGAGGGATTGTGTTTTCTTCACACACATATGTCCCTGACTTCATCTCTAAAGGTGGAGCGTAGGCACACTGGCAGTGTTGTGAAGGATGAACAAACTCTGTGTGGCCTTCAGCTCACCTCTCTCCATTTACCAGTGTAATCGTTGTGACTGAAAATCTAGATTAGGTTTGGAGTTTTTGTCCATCTAGGGCATTTTACTTTTACAATCTGTCCAGTAGATTGTCTCGGCCAGACGCTGTGACACGGCAGCAGTGGCTACCATGTAATCTTATGGGGCAACTGCGACGGTCCACTAAATATCTACTAAAAGTGTTTTAGGGCTCAAATCGTTATTCTGGGTCTTTGCTAAATATCTGACAACAAAGAAGAATGTCAGAGATCTTTACACGTCTCCTTCATGGGTTGTTGCAGGAAGATGGAGGTGGAAACATGAATGAAGGAGAGGGTTGGAGACAGGAGCTGGGATTTTACTGAGAGAAATTATCGTGGGTGAAAATGTTCTGATGTGGACAACGTCGATGAAGCGTTTGACCAAGACTCCTTCAAACTGCAGAGGAGTCAATCTGCTGCTCCATGGTTGCAAAGCTCTGGACATTGCTGTTGTTCCTGTCGGTTCTGTGAGCCTCTGCCCACAACGGAAGAAATACTGTGCTGTAAAGGGTGGGCCCCGTTTGATGGTCTTAAATTGTCCACACGCACTAAACAACTCTGTTTGAGCACGTCCGAGGTTTTCCCCCGTCTGATCAACAGGGTTGTGCTGGAGACATTCTTGTTACATTGCCAGCATATTAACAGTTTGAGCCTTTATTGGGCAAAAAAAAGCAGTTTTAGTGGAAATTTCATGGACTGTCACATATGCCCAATAAGACTTGTAAGTACCATTCATTTTCACGTCCAAATTTACAATCATAGGGCCCAGGTTGAAAAATATCAGAAATACTCCATGTCTTTAAATACTGAGCTGCAAAAAGAGTTGAGTGTTTTCTTTTTATGTGATGAATCGAAAAGGTGGAGAAAGTATACAAACGTTAAAATTTTACTCTTTGGCCACTAAATGTTGTATTTTCCTGCACAACTGCATCCAAATGAGAAACTCAAACATTAGTTAGACCTGAAGTTATTGAAGCAACTGAAATAAAGTTGCTTGTGTGTCGGCGATGTGAATGAAGAATGTAACAACGACACAGCTGGTACCGCACAATTGTCTAATCTAAGAACACACACACACACACACATGTTGCAGTCTTTCTTTCCTGCCCTGCACTGGTCTCTGAATCATCTCAGATCTTGGTCCATCTGTCTGTCCGTCCTGCCAACAGATGGACGGGTGGGAGTGAGACTCTTCACACTTCTCACAACATATGATGATGATGAAAGGACACAATGGGTTTATTGAAATATGGCTTCACTCTGGAGCCAAACTGAAGAAATTCGTTTTTTCTCTGAATTTTCTCACATTTAAATTTTTTTAATTAAAAATCAGTCACGTACTTACAACTAGGATATTCTTTAACATTTCACAAAGTGAGATAATGTCATTCCCCTGAGTCTTCACACCTCTGTTTTCTCACACATCACTGGAAACATCAGAAAACATGATGGAGTGTGATTGAATGATTACACACGGCCTCGCGACGGTTTGTTTAAAGTCTCTTTGTCTCAGTGTAGAGACGGAGCTGTGGCACCTTTAGAAGTTTAGTGTCTTCCTCATCAGAGGACACAATTATCTCAGTGTCACGTCAGGTTTGTTAATCAGTCAGTTAGAATTCAACAGAACAAGTCAAACTCTTTCTGCTGCTGTGACAGTCACCCAGTCATCCAAACCGCCGCACAGCCTGTGTCTAACCACCCCTTTAGTGTTTCCGCCCTTTATCTCATTATCTCCATCGTCTGCCTCCCCAGCCTCCTCCGAGGTCGTCTTCTCCTTCGACGTTGGCAACGGTCCACTGGAGGTGCGAGTGAAGACGAGCGTCCCGCTGAACGACGATCGGTGGCACAGCGTGCGAGCCGAGCGAAATGTGAAGGAGGCGTCACTTCGGGTCGATGAGTTCCCGGCCGCCACGCAGGAGGCTCCTGCTGACGGGCACATTCATCTGCAGCTGAACAGTCAGTTATTCATAGGTGAGGAGCAACAGTGTGAAATTGTTAGTGTGTGTGTGTTTCCAAGTGCCTCAAAATGTACAGTAGTCAGGGTTTGTTTGAGGTTATGGTGAAAATAAAGATTAATCATGCTGTTGAGAGAGTAATGATGGACTCCATCTCCACTTCCTCTCGTTGTACGAAAGTGAAGCTGACATATCCCAGATACGGGCGTCGCCATGTTGCGCTTTATTGTCATTTGGAGTCTGTGCATAGTATTGAGGTTCTGCACATGCACATGCTCGACCAATTGCAAGTCAGTCTCAGCTCACAATCATTACGTCTCACCCCATATCATCAATTTACTAATTTAAAAAAATACATTTAAAGCCACATCACTTCCTAAAATGACAGAAACCATCTTTGAGAAAGTTTTATTCGACGTGTGCTTTTTTAAATGTTTGATCCCATCAACCTCTTCACTAACATGGAGGACATCTCCCTGTAAACATAAATTCAAACTCATTTACTTCATCTCTTCCTCAGATTTTCATGATTCTGTTTAGCTGCTTTGCTCCTTTTCCGTCAAACTGTATTTGAGCAGAATGAAAATCCACCTTTTATTATGAGGCTTTATCCTTCTGCAAATATCACAGACATGTGTTCATTTGCAAACACACATTTTTGAAGAGCAAAAAACAAACATCAACCGACAAATAATCACGGCCGTGGAGAGATGGAGGAGGCCGTTGATTGGCCAGTTGTGTCCGGCTAATAATCGTCCTCCTGAACGGCTTTGAGGAAGTGTTCTCCTAATATGGGCAGGACTCTGGCAAAGCAGAGGGATATAAACGTTGGATTGAAAATATGATGGGATTTCTAAATAGAGAAGAGGATGTTTGTGTTTTACACCAAAGCCATATGCACATGGATTCCTTTACACTTGTTTTGGAGAATGGAATCATATGCTCCTGAAAATCTGTTAATAAACCATAATATTGCCTTGGGTGAATCTTTATGACACGATTCTGGCTCATATTAATTTATCGCTAAGGGAAGGCATTGGTTTTACGTGCACACTGTGACACATCTCTGTACAAGCTAATAATACATTTAATTCACTGCACTGCTAAATTGCTGCCATTAGCTCCTGGCAACTTTTAACCTGGGCTTTTTTCTTGCTTGTTATTAAATGCATTCATTGACTTTGTGAATCAATCAATACAACAACTTTTTAGCTGGTGATGATGTATTATGAGTGGATTTCAACCACATTTTGCAATATTTATTTCCCTCACTTGGAGGACACATCGCTCTAATGATCTGGTGTCACTACACCCACGCTCATAATGTTTCTTTAGCGTTTTGTAACTGTTGCTGCAGAAGGAGACAACAGAGTCTCACAGAAGTTTGTGATTTCGTTGCATGATAAGCTCTTTTCCAGACTCAAACTGTGAGAGTAATACCCGGACAATTCCAGTCTGCCAGAACAATAAAAACTGCAGTGCATGGATACAAAATAAGATGTGGTGAGCTCGCAGCGTAATGAAAAATGAAATTTAGTTGAGTTTAGACCCTGTGAGCAGAGTGAGGCTAGAGTGTTAAATGTCAGGTGAATGGAGGAAGAGATTCTCGCTCTGGTCTGGATGAACATCAGACACACAGTTAGTCTTTGAGCAGCCTGCAGAGTAACAGGCAGTGTCTCAGCTCTGAAGCAGAGTCGTGGCCTTGTTGTGCTGCACTGACAAATCATACTTTACAGCAGAGTAGACAAACAATTACAGATTTACAGTCGTACAGAGACACAATGGGAATTTATTTATAGGCAGCTAAACAAGCTACTCCTTCTCCTTCAGTATAAACTCATCATCACATCATTTAGATCAGTGCAATAGGCTTAGGATTGATTTGGTTTTATTACAACATAACTGAAACTTTATTTACCTTTTCAAATTAAAATTCACTCAGCTCTGTGAGAAACGTCTTGTAAATGGGACTAAAAGAGACTGATGTGAAAGCAAAGTCTTGAAAAAGCCACACATAAAAAGTTGAAGGCAACATTCATAAAACTGAGGCAGAGTTCAAGATCAGAATCGATCAGACGGGCAAAGAACATAAAATCTGACGATCCTGCAGAGATCAAGTGGAAACTTAATGGTACATGGTGTACACAGTAAAAATACTACGGAGCAGGATTGCTGTCTGTTCTCTGGCAACACTGAATATAATAAGAACATATGAGCGAGCATTCTGTGTTTCGTGTGTTGACAGGAGGCACCGCGTCCAGACAGAAAGGTTTCCGCGGCTGCATCCGCTCTCTGCAGCTGAACGGCGTCACTCTGGACCTGGAGGAGAGGGCGAAGATCACCCCCGGGGTCCGACCCGGCTGCCCGGGTCACTGCAGCAGCTACGGCTCTCTCTGCCAGAACCAGGGTCGCTGTGTGGAGAAAACTAACGGCTTCTCTTGTGACTGTGGTCCGTCCGCCTTCACTGGAGCCTTCTGTCATAAAGGTGCCGCAGCCTCTTCTGCTGTTTAATGCTTTTCACTGTCTGTTCCATCCAGAGTTTCTCCAGATTAATGTGAGAACCCAAATGTCTGGGTCTGTTATCTATCCAGGACAGTTTCCAGAAGATGTCTGAGCGAGCCAATGTGAGAATACAGTAATTTGGGAGAAATACAGTTTCACGTTGCAGCTTTAACGTGACGTATTTAGACAATGGGCAGATTTTATGCGAGTTAAACCTAATTCAGAAGGAGAGTTTGTTAAAACTGCTGCACTGGACAATTTAAACATTCTCCTATGTGTCTGTTTGTCTTGAAGAACTGTTGCAAAGTGGATAAGTGATATTGTACAAGCAAGATAAGGAAAGTGCAGCTGCAGAGGGGGTAGAACTGTGTGTTTTCTCGCTGTGCTGCTATCTGGTGAGCTTCTGGTGCGTTTGGAATACTGCAGGCGGTTGGTGAGAGGTTCCAGGACATGAATAGAAAATAAAAAGCAGCTGGACATTTTTGGTTCACTGTTTATTGTGGAACCAGCTGCTGTGTCTGACATCCTTCAATGTAAAATCGATGAGCTTCAGAGCGACAACAAGCTCAGTGCAACAACCTCCCTCTGCTCCAGTTCTGTTTGTCCTGAAGATTTTCCGAATCTGAGGAGACATGCACTGGACTTTTCATCCGTTCAGGACGTTTCTGTCCGTGATGTTTCTTTTTTTTGTTTTGTTTTTGGCAACAACCTGAGTGAACTACTGTTGAGCATGAAAAATCCCAGAGGATCAACTGTTTTAGAAACACTCACCTGTCAAACTCACTGACTTCCCATTTGTCTGCACTCACTGCACACTAGACTATACTTAGTTTAATATGAGCGTTAACTGCAGCTCCTGGTCTGTACCTAAGATGACTGCAAGACAGGTTAGTCAAAAGACAAGGGGAGTACTTTCATGTAGGTCTACCAGATTTAACTAATCTCTTTTGTTGTCCAGTTTTAAGACATTGCTGAGTTAAAGAGACACGAGACAATGAGACAAATACTAACGATAACAGCTGTTTCCCGAGTCGTCCTCTGTCTCCTAAAAAATATTTGTACACAACTAATCAGCAGAAGCAAATTTTTTTTTTCAAACCTGTCAAATCACATAATGTGAAATGTGACATCCACGAGTGTTCTCGACTCTGCACATCATCCACCTCCATATGACACGCAGGATACAAGCTGTCCACTTTCTTCTCTAGAAATTACATGACCAGTTTGGACGTATTTTATCGGACTGTCAAACCTTTTAACTTTCAGAGGTCTCTGCCAGCTTCAAGTCCACAATGTCCATCGCCTTCGTCCTCGAGGAGCCGTACGAGCTGAGCGGCAACAGCAGCGCTCCGTCTCCGTCCATCTTCTCTGACATGACGCTGAGAGGGGAAAACATCTCTCTGAGCTTCAGGACGCTACAGAGTCCGGCTCTGCTGCTCTACGTCCACTCTTTCTACAAGGAATACCTGGCGCTGCTGATCAACGAACACGGTGAGAACACGCAATTAGATTTGCGGCAACTCTTGTTCTTTTCTTCCCTCCAATTACTTTCCTCGTCCCTCTGGAATCCCTGTGTCACGCTTCGTTGACTCCCCCGGTTCTTCAGCCCAGTGTGGCTTCATAGAAAACATTTGTTTCAGTCGTTATAAAGTGATAATTCTTTTCAGCATTTTCCGCCGTGTTCTTGCCATTGTGACTATTAATTGTGTTCACATTTTAATCACTCATTTCACTCTAGAGCTTCACATAGCTCCGGTCGGCAGGGAGCGATTCCAGCTCTCTGTTGTTGCAGAACAGGATTAGCAGTTATCCAGTGTCTGGAACTTGTAAATATACTCGAGCTGAATAACAGGTTATTTATAACAAGAGCTTTGTTTTGTAGTTTAACAAATTCTTTCATCATGAAGGCGCAAACTAGCAAAAACCTATTTAGAGGTTTTCTAAAGGCCAGTAGGAGAAATGTGCTTTTTATTGAATTAATGATGGGATGTTTGCTTATCCTGTGTTGATGCTCTGGAATCCACTTCAGAATTATTCCCTGTCATTAGTGAGTCGTCCTGAAACACTTTTTTTACTGTCTGCAGAGCTTTTTAGTTGACGAAGTGAAGTTCGAAAACTTCTTGTTTATCCTACTTGGTTCAATGTGGAACCGTTATCAACCGAATTCCGTGACTTTCTAGTCGTGATATTTGTGCAACGAGTAGATTCAAATCTTGAATTTCGAAAGCTAAGGGATTGCAGGTTTTGAGTAACCGATGATTTCATCATCAGGTATCTGCACTTTAGCTGAAGTATCTAATGAAATCCCAGTGAGAGGTTTCACTCGGTCGCTTCAACAAGGTTTTTCTCATGTTTCTCTCTTTTAGCTGCTGCAGTAACAAAAGCCTCTGCTGCTGCACACAGAGTCATTTCAGTATCTCAGTATCTCGCTGAGCCTGAAAAAACCCTCTGCCCTCTCCACCACTGCTTTAATTTTCATCAAGATCTGCTCTTTTGACTCAGTTATTAATTACAAAAGGGGATTATTTTACTATTTTTTCTTCCCAATCATTTCTGCTCATCTGTAAAATCTGCAGGTTCAAGTTATCTCATCTGTGACATTTATGAAGTTTAACACAGGGAAAGATTGGGAATTTAATTTTATACAATGAAGTGTTATTCATGGAGATAAAATATTCTTCCAAGCGATATTAAATGGTTTTTAGCTTTTTAATTTGGCAGCTGGTATCTCGGAACACTCGCGCATCTGCATGAAATTTGATTTTTTTTCTGTGAAGGAGTGAATAAATGTCTTGAATGGATTCGATCAGATTGATATTTAACTTTTTTTTACTGTCTACTATCGAGGCCGAGACGTCTTATACAAGTTCATTCATGGAAAATTGGAATGTAGAACTTTTGTGGTGGTTGTAGTTGTGCTGTCACTTTTGTGTTTTGTTAATGCACTTGTGTGAGAAGTCTCACTCACCATAGTTTATAGCATTTTACATTTAAAAGTTATTTGTAAAACTTTAAATCCACAGGGATAAATAAAGCTCGATCTCCTCAACCTTACAGTAAATCTTCGTGTGATAGATGTAAAATAATAGAATGGCCCCTCACGTCTATACTTCAGGTTTAAGTATAAACCATGACAGTGGATATTTTTAAATGAAGCTCTTGAGTAAGAGTGTTTTTTGTTGTCTTGTGAAGATGAGCTGGAGCTGAGGTACAAGCTGCACAGCAGCAGAGATGTGGAGACGTTGGGCAGCAGAGTTATGAACTTGGCTGATGGACGTCTGCACACAGTGACCGTCAGGAGACTGGCAGACGCTGTGTCCGTGCAGGTGAACGCACACAACAGATAATTCACACTGTGTCACACGAATCACCACAAGCAGACATTCTCAGAAACTATGAAATAAATAATCAGATTCTATTATGATACACTTTTCACTGTTCACGTGACACAGGTTACATTTGTGTAACGTTGAAGACAAGATTCTGAACATAAAGCTCTCCACAGTTTGTGTCTGTCGGTGTTTGCTGTCTGCCTGCTCACCTCTACACTTACACATATGAAATACATTCTTCTTTCAGATTGACCAGAATGCCAGGGAGGACTTCAACCTGTCGTCCGATGTGGAATTCAGCAGCATGAAGTCGCTCATTCTGGGCAGAGTCCAGGGTAAGAGAAGCTCTTGGTGCCAACTCCAGCACTTAGACAGACTCATTCGAAACCAGGTGTTTGGCCTCATGTGACAAAACACAGCTTCTGGAGCGTTCCTGCTGTTTCATGCTCATCACGATGAGTGGACCAGAGGGAGCGGTGCAGCCAGTGCAACAGCTGTGCTGCCTTTTAAAACAAGTTGATATGCATATTCAGGTTTTCATGCTACTTTACAGTGGAGATGCGAAATATGAACAACACTAGAACAGACTAAAGGTGAAGGCACCCACTTAAGTCGCAGTTATGAGGCATTAGGTACATTTACAGACGTATGAGTGGCTGTGTTGTTTTGTTTTTTTACATTAACGCAGGAGTTCAGACTGAAGTAAATGCCAGTGAACTTTTATCTGTGTTATGGAAGCGGGGAGTAATACAGTCTCTATATAAGTCTGTGTGGCGGAGCGCGGCTCCAGGCAGCTGTATTGGTAATAACTGGAGAAAAGCTCCTTCACTTTGTATGGTAATGAGGAGAGATTGAAAAGAACAAATTACTCAGAAAATTGAAGTCAGCACCCTGCGATTCAGCATAACAACCAATGAGTCTCCGCTGCAGAGCGCGGGGTCAGACTTAACCAGGAAGTCAGGCGGTACAGTTCAACCTTTGTCTGCATGACGGAATCCCCCTTCACTCAAGTGATGCTCACAACTTCTTTAAAAGAGAGAGGACTGTGTGGGGGCTGCGTTTTTCTGTCTGGACGTTTTCCTCAGAGACAAAACGAGAATAAAACTCCCACTTGGTTTAAATTCTCTATTACAAAGCCGTCACTTTCATTTAAACATCGTTCAGAAATATAAACTGTTGAATTCCTTCTGCATCCATGTTTCCTCAGCTTCACTTTGGTGGCAGTAACAGGTTTGTTATCACACAACAGCGAAACAATCCTATCACATCCTAAACCACGTTTAAACTCACCGGATTCAGATTTTTGTTTGGATCTGCACCAAATTGCAAATCCTCACAGATGTCAGGCTCCTTACTGTGCATGAGTATTTACATCTAAACCCATGCATTCATGAAATCGGTGGACATTTTAAATATTCAACTTAAATATTTCACAATCAGCTCCTCCATCTTTATCTGCTCCACAATTTATTAATTCATTCAGTGTTTTTTTTTTTGCGCAGTCAAACAAACCAACAATAAATGGTCAGAGGTTAATATGTGCGGCTGAGATGGGGTCAGGTGTCAAATGAGGTTCTTCATTAAAAACTACTTGAAATTTGAGAAGGGAGCAGGGATGTGACGATAATAAATCTCACTGAGTTAGTTACTGTATCATTTATCAGCTGTTCTCACTGAACTGAACTAACAGTGAGTATCAGATTTCACCAACTGAGATCAGTGATGCTGGACACTTTAATTATGTCCCCGCAGTAACTGGAAGTAACATTGTTTTTGTGCAACACCAAATGCCAACATACATCATCTGAAGGTTCTCAACATGATGTGGTAAGGTCAAGTTATTATAGAGAAACCCAACCGTTCCCACAACGAGCAGCACTGTGGCGACTGTGGAGAGAAAAACTTTAAAGAGGAGGAAACGTGGAGCAGAACCAGAGCGGGCGGCCGTCTGCCTCTGGTGTTCTTTCATTTAGTTTCATTCAATAGAGCAGCAGCGGACTTCAGATGGACGAGTACGACTGGAGTCCACTCAGGGAACCGGCTGTAACCCGTTGAGACGATTGCTCCTTTTATATTCTTTCACTCACTTGTTTCAGGTTTCAGGATTTAGGAACCAGAAAACATTCAGCTTTATGTAAAGTAAAAAAGTACTAATACTAATAGTTCCTCCCTCCTGGTGAATAAGAGAAATAAACCTCTCTGCTTCTTCAACTAAAATCCAGAGGATTGCATCTTTCTTACTTTCTGACCTCTGCACTGCGTCAGTGGATTTTGAGTTCTGGCGTGCACGAGAAACCATTTATGTCTTTATTGATTTTGTTGACTCAACACTGTACGTGTAGCCCCGCCCACTCGTAGCTCCATAGTTTGGCACTAAAGTTTTGACCCCAAAAAAAGTTGAAATGTCTCCTGCTCTCCATCGTGCACATGTGAGAATCGGATATAAATTGCTGCTGGTGCTGTTTGCTCTGGTGAGGCCCCTCGCTGCTCTTTTATTGATGACCCGGGTCGTGTTCGTGTGTGACCCAGCCTTCCCTCGGAGCCACAGGATCCAGGCAGTCGTATCAGTATCCGAATCAGAGAGGCAGCAAGATAGTTGATATACTGTCACTCCCTGGCAGCCCTGTCATCCATCAGCCTAACTAATGGACCAGGAAAGAACGGAGAGACTAAGACACTGACAGGGAGAGAGGGAGGAGAGGAGGGATGGTGGTGCACAGAGGTGGATGTTAGGGGCAGCAGCTGGGAGAAGCTGGACAGTTCTTCAGTTCAGAGATTCAAGGCCGGTGGTGTCAGCGTTTGACTGTTCACACAAACACTCACATACTTCTTGGTAAAATCACAGAGCTCTTTTAAGGAGGTTTAACTCCCAGTTATCATTCATAACAATGACAGACCATGTTTTATTTTCAAACTCGGCTTTCTGGGATCTTATGTCCCATCTTCTAGATGTTTTGTCAATATTCTTACATATTTATATATCAGCAAGAGCACAAGGAAGGAAAGTAAATACATTTACTCAAATACTGTACTTAGGTCCAGTTTTGAGCTACTTGTAGGTAACTTTACTTGAGTACTTTGGAGTATTTTAGATTTCCTTTCTCAATGTTTTTGTTTATTTGTTTAGGTGATATAATTTCTTGTCCACACTACTTCTGATATTTTTTTTGTTCAGATTACCACGATTCATCAAACACCAAAGAACAACGCTGTGGTCCAAGTATTTATAATTCAATTTGATCTTATAGGCTTCATTATACTGAAACAGACCATTCTGCTTTACAAAGTACTTTCACTTCGAGTACCTTGGGTTTATTTTGATGTTTATACCTTTGTACTTTTACTTGGATACTTGGATATATAATAGTAATTAACTCTAAGCACCGTTGACATGCATGATGGGGGAAGCACATTTGTTTTTCATTCAAATTAAAAACTCTCTGCATGTGTTTTGATTTCATATAAAAGTGAAACATGGAGGTAAAAAAAAAAAAGAAATCCCACCACAGCTCTAACCTCTGTCCTGTCTCCCGTCTCAATCTTATAGGTTATATACGTACACGTGTATGAGATGTTTAATTCAAAGTGAAGTTATTTCCTGCTGCCCAGAGAATCACATTCAATCTAAAACTCAATCTCAGCTGCTCCACACAGCTGATAAACTGTCTCCGTGCTGTGTCTCTGTGGTGATAACGCAGATGACTGACAATGATGGGATCTGTTATCCGACTGTTCTTGAGGAATAATTGTACTTCACACTGACATTTACTGAGGATTTTATTCATGCACCTGATGCACACAAACTTTTAACCTTATGTTTCAGTGCAGGATCAAATATCCGTGTACAGCCAAACTACTTCATCAACTAACTCCATCGCTACTTTGTTCGCAGAGTCCGATGAGCTGGATGCCGAGCTGGCCGAGCTGGCCGCCCTCGGCTTCACCGGCTGTCTGTCGGCTGTTCGCTTCAACTCCATCAGTCCTCTGAAAGCCGCTCTGCTGCATCCTGACGGGGACGCCGTCGTCACCGGTCCACTGGTCCAGTCGAGCTGTGGCTCCTCCTCTCCAGCCAAGTCCTACACGGCAGAAACCACTCGCTCCTTGTCAGGTACCAGGAGCCGACTCACATCACATACTGTTTTACAGTCACCCCCGCTCCTCTCAGCGTGTGGGAAACTGTGAGAATGTCTTTAATATTATTCTTAGCGACGTTCACTTCACTTTTTTATCGGCTCGTTAAACATCCTCCTCAATAAGCAGGGAGACTGATGGTACGACCAAAGATGAGAGAAGTCAGACAACTGCTTTCAACAAGTCTGTGCTGACTAATGGTTCCTACACTCACTCCACCTTTCTCCTCGTCTGTCCTTTCACTGCTCCACCTCATCTTTCTTCTCTTTCATGCCTCAGCGCTGGCGAAAAGCTGTAACCAGAGGCATCATGTCTCTGTTCTGTATGTCCCACTCTGACCCAACATCTCCGAGACACTGCGGGGGAATTTCTTTCAAATTTGGCACGAATGTTCTCTGGGAGATTAACCGATTCGATTTTGGTCAAAGGTTAAAGTCTCTGTGGTCCCACAAAAACAGGTTTTTGGTTTGGCGACTCTCAGAAACACTTGCACTCAAAGAACAACAGTTAGAAAGGTCAAAATAAAAAATACCTTCTTTCTCCTTCTCCCGGTTACACGTGTTTTTGGCCGTAACTCAAGAATTCATAATGACTCAATCATTTGGATTTTTAAGTCCACACAACAGATCCAGACAAACATACTTGATTTCTCTTTCTCTTATCTTTATTTATTTTAATGTGACTTCCTGCTTCTCTCTCTGTTTCCCTTTACAGATCAACCTGGTTCGGTGGATCCAGGTCAACCTTTAGTCAACGCTATCAGGAGTGACTCGGCTCTAATTGGAGGTAATGCAGTGCAACTCAGTGGAGAGAATAAAAACAATATATTGATATAATTAAATATATGGGAAAAAGGGCTAGAGAGGAGATGTGGGTGGGAAAGAGGGGAGAGAGAGGGAGGGAGAGGGAGGGAGAGACCACAAACTGTCATAATTAATTATTCATCATTCATTAACATAGGGATTCAGTCCCACGACTAATGAAACATATGATGGAAAATGCACAGACACACACACACACACACACACACACACAGTGAGGAACTTTAACACAAACTTGTTTGAAAAACATATTTTGACATTCATCGTTGTGATTATCGATATCGACTGATGTGAACATTTTCATTACGATAACATATTTGTCCAGAACCTACATTTGTGACACAGTCAACAAAGGCTGCGTGCGTCCGCAACCTTTCATGACTTTTGCTCAGTGAATAGTTTGGAGGCTAAAGGGGAAAAAAAAAAGGTTGTGGCTTGTTTACAAGACCTGAGATCTGAATTCACACACATCACAAGAAAACCTTTGTTTTTCCATTTTAAAAGTGCATTAGTTAACTCGGGCTTGCAGTATTTTGTCTCGTACATTTACTTTGGTTTTATAATTAAAACCGAATGCACCGAAGTGCGTGAGTTTGTTTAAAGCTGGAACAAAACTTTGCAAAGACGTTTTCTAACTTTTCCAGACAAATGGGACTGTTTGTCGTGAGCTATTTCAGATTCAGATGGAAAATGTCAGGAGAGACAAAACCCACATCGTCTGAGAACAATACACAAAGAGACGTCAATGCCGAGCTGCAACGTTTAGACTGTGTCAGTGGATTCAATAATTAGCGCACAATAAAAGAAACGAAATAGTCTGATTCAATCTTAAGGTGTTGCCTTTTACAAGTGAATTACTTTTTAAATCAAGAATCAAGCCACAGAAATAAAAGGAAATGCACATGTGGACGTGTATGTTTGTTTTTTTACGACCAGCAAACACAAGTTTAGGCTTCAGGGGATTTCTGAGCCAAACCAACAAATTAAAATGTCCAATACTTTGATCCAAAGTGGACGGACCAGATTACATACATGGGAACTCTATACATCAAACATGACCTGTGGAGGAACTGCAGAGAATTTGGCCCACAATGCAGCGGGAGATTCTCTGCTCAGACGTGTTCAGCAGAGGCAGAACCTGACGTAGAATTTCTGCTGTGGAGATCACATGTTTTTGCACATCGACACCATGGTTGGCTCTTATCACCACAATCTCTCTTGAGCCAGGCGGAGACGGTCTGTAGAAACTCTGGAGTTTCTCACTCGGACATTTGCGTCCATGCACTTCGTCTGGAGAAACTCTGCAAGCAGCTCATGTCTGTGTTTCTGTGTTTTTACAGGGGTGATAGCCGTCGTGATATTTGTCACCGTGTCTGCGTTGGCAATCATGGCCAGATTCATCTGCAGCAGAAAAGAGACGTACCGAAACCAAGAAGTCAAAGCGGCGCAGCCCGATGATGGCCAGGAGTTTCCCTTCAGCAGCCCGGTGGACTCTCAGGGCGCTGCCAGTGAAAACCAGAAGGAGTATTTCATTTAGAAGCAGCCCTGAACCCCCACTGACCTCAGGGGACGGAGCGCTCAGTGCTTTACGAGACCCCACAGAGCCCCTCAGTCACTGGTACCAGTGCATGAAGACGATGGGAAGTCAGAAACAGAACAATCCATGACATTATTCATTCCCCTTCCGTTTGTACATATTGTACACAAACTGGAAAAAGTGTTCAAAGTGGATTTTGAGTCATCGGTGCTGTGTATTTTGAGGATGTAAATATCTACCAATATTAAAAAATGTAAATGTTGAGTTGTCTGGATTGCCAAGCTGTAATGTTATAAAATTATTTATTAAAAAGGAAAAAAACGCAGAATCGATAGTAAGATTTAAAAAAAACAACTTTGTTCCAGTCGAACTTGACTTTTTGGACTTGATTTATAAGCAGAACTTTTTCTACGAGGATGATATGAAACTTCTGTGAAATCTGAGCTGTCGGAGCCATATGTGTGAAATCGTGAGGAGACGGATTCGGCTGAGTGGACGGTTGACGTGTGTCAAAGCACAGACCCAGAATCAGCTGAAATCCATCATTTCAACACCTGCTGTATATATGAATACGAAATAAAAGTCACTCTTAAAACTTTACTTCCACACTTTGTCTTTGAGTTGGTCGGAGCTTTTTAAGTGACTCACTTTGCTCTTGTGTATGTGAGCTCGAGTAAAGCTTTTCCAATGAGCTTACACAGATTGTTCTCTCTTTCTTCTTCTCTGCACCTCCTGCCGTGAGAAACAGAGACCAGGACTCTGACAGTAGCTCCCACCAGTGAAGCTTTCAGCAGCTCGGGCTATAAAGCACCGACTGTCACCCTTTCCGCTCTGCAGACGTTTAATGTGTTTCCACTGAAGCACTAATCTGTGTTTGTCTGACAGGTAGAATAAGAGATAATCACAACAGGAAATAGGAAGAATTGAAAAGGAGCTGACGCCGAGATATAAACGGTGCAATGAAAACCAGCCATCCAAATATTTATGTCAGGTATTTGTTCTTCACTGTCTCCGCAGTGCGTTGCATCGTGGGTGGGATTTACAGGCAGGAGCAGGAGAAAAGTAGAAAATGTAGTTTTCCATCTCGGTATGGTGTCATGCATCATGATTTTACCTCATTACAGCAGAATTTAAGTATTTGATCTTTGTGTTTCTCAACTATTTAAGAGAATAATCCAACACGATGAGGATTTACGGTTCAGGAGAGAGCTCTGTATATCTGTTAAATTCTCATGGTGCACATGAAGAAATGCATTTTTATTTCCCTGCATAGTTAACAGCTTAAAACTTCACTTCATCAACTTCTGGCGCAGTACTACCGATACTTTGAATGCATCAAATGAACGTCATGGTTCAAACATTATATTGTTTAATGATTTCTCAACTTCCTGCATCCAAAAAACAAACCATGGTTCAGTTTGATCTGGACAGAAACCACCTCTGTCAGACTGAACTTTGGTTTCTTGGTCTGAGGAACTTTTCGATCCTGGTATTTTGGATTTACCTGAAAGATCTGAAGATTACGGAAGGTGTGAAAGTTCCCTCTTCCTCCCAGTATTACCTCCTCACCACTTAAATGCAACCTGTCTGTACGGTGACTCATCCGTAACTGCTTGCATTATAATGAACTTGCATGTACAGTGTGAAAACTCAAATCCTCTCACAGAGAAAAAGAAGGATTATTAGTGCTGCAGAAAATCCGTTAAAAACTGAGCTGAGGTCTTTTGTTTCCATGTTAAATGAAGCTGAAACTCAGCAACGCTTTTTCCTCTCTGGAGCAAATTCAATTAACATAAATTTACATCACAGATTGTTGTTCCTCCAAAAAGTTTTCTGGGGAGCTTCTCTTTTTTTTTTATCCACATGACATTATTGATGTGTATTAATATGCTCCTGTCTGCAGAGTGACTCAGTAAAAGACTGAAACTGAAACATCCAGGAGATGGAAATGTCAAAGTCATTTTTTATGATGATGAAATTCGCTGCCACTTTCCAAAGCTGGAAGTTAAAGACTTCCTGGTTCCTAAAACAGCACTGATATAAATTCAGATTTGATTTTGTAAACGAGCTGAGTTCAACAACTGTGCTAAAACTTTTCT